GTAGAAAATACAAGCGGGCGAATAATGTGCAGAGCAAATTATTCCCAAATTTTTATAATGGGCATACTCACGACAGCTTCTCAATTCTCCTAGGAATTCATTTCGCCAGAAGTTTTCAGGGAAACTGTACATCCCAACAAATTTGTTGATCCATCTTCTTATAAATTATTCGCTTCGCTTCAAATTACAAGAAATTAATTTTTGGCATCAAGCAAACACATTTGTTATAAAATTTTCGTTATCTTTCCAATTAGAAAGTTTAGACTAATTTTTATAGGGTTTGCGCAAGTAGTGGAAAAAGTACGTGAAACTGGTTTTAGTAACATTTGCTTACCAGTTTTGCCACAAATTCTTTCAACTTGCAATCATTATCTTACATATTATCTTTCGCATCAATCTTTTTCCTTACGACCCTAAAAAAATGCGATTTTGGCGTGAAATCTACAGTTGAGAAAATATAGATGTGGCTTAAATTATGTGCGAATTTTTAATAAATATAAATAGTTTAAAATCAGTGTTTCTTATGTTTAAAAACACCTGCACAAAATTAGTGCATAAAAATGTTGTTATGCGTTTAATAACACCCACCAAAAATCCAGAAAAGTGCACAAAAATGCACAAAAACAATTTAACTGGAATGCAATAAGGTCAAATATTAGGGGTAGTCAAGGTTAACTAATTTCGAACAGAGAACTATTAAATCCGAAAATAAGCTGGACAGACTTTTATTTCGTAAATCTGATCGACCTTGACTGAAATTTCATCTTTTTCACGAATTAACTATGAAATGATTTGTGAATTCCTATTTTCGGGAAGAGTACGACAGTTGCAATTTATACCTTGATTTTGGCAAGATTTTAATTTTAACGTATTACCGCAAGTAAAGTTGCGATGATTGTATTTTAAAATCATTTTCCTTCTTTATCCATATTTAATCCATATTTAATCCATAATCCGTATTTTCCTTCTTTATCATTGAAAAACTTACGGAGTGATTTCTGCTATTGTAAAAAATGCGATAAATATTTAATAAAATAAAATATTTGATTATAAATTGAGAAATTTGTGTGCCAATAAAAAAAATTAGACAAATTCTATTCTTAAAAAAATAATCAGATGGGTCACGCCAAGGTTTTTGGTGTTATAAACCTACTAAGAAAATATTTAGCGAAGTATGAAATTTATCGCGTACATAAATAGGAGACACTGTCTTCCACATGGTCAAAAATTTTAATCTACAATGCGTACTTGGTAATCATGCCTTGTCGTATAACAATTAATCAGAAGTACAGCTGCGGATCTTAAAATTTGCAGAGATCCGTGATAGACACGAGGTATAAAGTAGCCATTATTTTCGGGTAAAATTCCTCCTCCATAAATTTAAATCCCTTCAACAATGTGTCAACTACTTTTAAATTTTCTGAAATTATTACAAATTTAAAATTTGCCACATTTTGAAAAATTACTGATGTTATAGATGAGGAATGGGGTCTAACATAATTTTAATCGTGGGTGGTTTGGTCAATTTTGTCAAACATGGAAATATTTTTCAAAAACTTATAATTTTACGAAAAATTCCGATATTTGTGCGTAACTGAGCGTAATAAGATCTACCTTAGGTTGGAAAGACAATGTTCAAAAGTCACATCATTTTTGACTGAATCTTCAGATTCCTGCCGACTGAAACGTTAACCAAATGAAAATTGAATAAATTGCAATTTTTGAAATATTTATTAAGCTAAATTTTTTTACGAAATTACTCATTTATGCAAATCCTATTTGGGCACCAACACTTACGTTGATTTCCACTTTATGCAATATAGTTTTTTATCGATATAATATACGTCAACCAGCCATCTTATAACAAACATTCTGTCATTCTTTTCCCCAATTTTAAGTAACTAACAAATAACCATTAATATTGCCCATATAATTTGAAACCATTTCACATAAAACTGTCAATTATTTTATATTCTGACAAATTGCAATCATTTGATTTAGTCAATACTATTAGCAAAATGGTAACAAATCATCACCGGACGGATTGCAGGTATGGATGATATCGTGTACAGCGTATATTAATGTGCTTCTATTTAGTTTTAAAATTGCTGGATTTCAACGTCAAACGAGAATTGTGTAGTGACATTTTTAACCAAATTAGCAGAAAGATTTGCCCTAGTTCTTCCAGCTAGATAATTAATAAAAGTAATGAAACTTTACTTGATATAAGGATGGCATTTTAAAAATTTGTATTTAAATTTTCCTATTAAATTTTACACTAAAGTTTAAGCTTATCAAACTAATTTTTTAGTTAATTATATCATTGATAAACTACAAAATAATCGAAATTGTATTTTTAAAGTGTAAAATTTCAACGTCAAATGACAATTTTTTAAACAAATTGTCACATATTGTGAGCGCATAGATATGTCGTCTGTCCGGGGATAGTATGTAGTTCAGCTCAATTTTTTTATCATTTTTCAAATTTTAAAACTAATTTGAATCCGAGCACACATTATATGCATATCTTGGAAAATTCTACGCATTATAAGTTTCGAAAATTTCGAGATTTTTCCGATTTTCCCAAAGTTCCCTATACCATAGAAATAGTTTTATTTCATAGAAATATTTATACTACGAGTAATTCTCTCCCTGCGGTTGGAGTTTCACACATTTCACGGGAAATAAAACTAAAATATCTCGAATTTTGACTGATTTCAAACCCCTATAACTTTTGAAGTTATCACGCGATTGTCATACATTGTGGCTTAAAATGATTAGAACAACTAAAAGTTGAAGAAATCAATTTTAATTCGGAAATTTTAACCAATCTGACTAACTCATGAACCAGTTTGAATTAAAACACCAGTTTTATTTTGTTCAACGAATTTTCTGCACAAGGGAAACTCACATGTCGTAGGAAACTTTCAGAATTTTAAATTTTCACGAGTTAGTTTATTTAATGTGAAATTTTATCAGTCCAACGTCGTTCATGTTTCTTCAGGAAATTTTGGATCTTTTTAAGAACAAAATTATTAATGTTTCTGTTTTACATTCAACTTTGAAGCATGATTAATTAACAATAACGGTATATCTGAAATTGCGTGGGAAAGTAAAAAATTTTCAAATTTAAATGATTTCGGACAATCTTTAAAAAGTAGGACTACCTGGCAAACTGGAGTTAATTTTTTAAATGAGTACTGTCACTCTTGCTCTTGCCGTGGAAAGTTTCAACATCAGCAGGGGGGCCACACTGCTATCAGGTTACTAACAATGCACATGACCTGGACAATGAACCAAACCAAACCGTCAAAAGGTTCGACACTGTCCTGCACAATTGAAAATGAACGAATTTGTCTAACTTTGGTTTATTCCGGTGACTGGGTATGTGTACATAATCAAATTATTATGGCGTGTCACCTCACTTTTATAGTTTTACGTAAGAGGCATCAAGTTTATTCAACATGAAAAACCCATAAGCCAAACTATAAAAAAACACGAGACATAAAGGTTACTGAAAAATGGGAGATGAAAGCATTATTCTCACTTTGGTCTACATATGTACATATTCCGATCCGAGGTGTATATTGATGCGTATTATGACGCATAACCTCATTTTCATATTTTGACGCATTACCTTTAAAGACATAAAGTTTAGTCGACATGGAAAAGCCATGAGCGTCAACCTTTTGTAAGCTATAAGATATTAAAGCAACTACTGGTCAACTGTTTTATCACCAGCATAACAAGTAGGAATTTATCATAGTGAAGTTATGTAGGTATTTACATATCAGCTTATAGGCAACTGGTATTGATATTGAATAAACCGTAGAAACGTTAGAAGTAGCTCACCCTGGAATAATGATTAGGATATACTTTTGCACCAAAGGTGCAAAATAAACGGACAAAATGGATACATACTTTTCATATAATTCTGCACCAATGGTAGAGAATAAACGGGGGATAACAGAAATTTGATCTAATGTTGCACCAATTGTGCAGCCGAAATGGTTAAAATTGGGACTAAATTTTGACACGATTTCGAGGTTAAGATATGTCAGCCAAGGCTAACTAGAACTTTCAGTTCATCCTAACCATTGGTGCGGAATACATCGATTCCTCTAATTATTTCGCACCAATTGTTTGATACCAATTGTGCTACAAATTAGGGTTAAAATGGTCGTGGGACTTATTAATTAGCATCAATTGATGCAAAAAAACTCGTGAACAGACAGACAGACGGACGGACAGACGGACAAGAGGAATTCAATAGCTCTCATGCTACGCAGGGTGAGCTAATAACGAGCGTTACGGTTATGAAAGATTTATTACCCACTAACCACTCCATAATTTTATGATATGATTGTTACCGGCGGAAGTGCTATTCAGTTCTACCGCTTCGGTAATAATTTACTTACCGAAGGGTAACATGTACATATACAGAGGATAAATCCTACTCAGCCTACAATGCCAACGAACGATTTGGTAATACAAATATTCCGATGGATGAAATTTGCCATTCTCAGAAGACAAAATATTACCACGCGGTGTTACCATGCGGTAGAATTGCTTAGCCCCTCCACCGGTAACAATTGTATGAAATTATTACTGCAAGTGTACCAGTCCATTGGGAAATTATTATCAAATCAGTACTAGTCTGGAGTATAAATATATAAATTCTACCGAAATCTTAACAGGATATGTACATATGTATACCTATGTACATTTGTAATGCAACAATGCGTTTCATATGAATTGTATCCTTTGTCTTCCATAGTACCATTATTGTCTACCCTATGTACATACATACTTTCAGCTTCAACTTTCAACCACATTTGAGTGACATTCAACTTTTTGTCCCACATGGAACTCGGTTTCACCGTAATGCACTTCACTGGGGAGAAGTTGATTCGGGAAATAGTCGGAGAATCCCTTTTTACCCTTTTTACATACAATATTGTGCAATACATTCATTACAAAAATCCTTAAAACCTGCTGTTTCTGGTATGTACATTATTACACATCCTTTTACGTACGTATTTTTCTAGGTTAAGAAAATCTACATAACTGTCAAACTAATTAATACTATAAATATACTAAACCCTTTAATCCAAGAACAAGTCAATTTCATAAAGCATAATAATTTTTTAGATTGCTATTTAAATAAATAAATTATTGGACAGATTATTTTTTGCCATTATTCACAACTACTAACAATCTTACTGGAAATTACAGAAACAGGGAGAAAAAACTCCAAATTGCGGGATCATGTCAAATAACTTTAATTATGGTAAGCAGGTAAAATTCAGTAATTGTCGTTTATCTTATACAGATCCTTTTCGTAATTTTATTAGATTTTCAACTTGGCCAGCCCACATCTGGTCCTGGACCTCCATTGCTACCACCAGCCCCCGGATCGGGACGAGAAGATTACATATATCATCCCGGAATTGGATATGTAGGGAATCCCCGACAGTCCTTTGTTGTAGAGGCGTCTTATCCTCCTCCACCACCACAATCAGTACGAGACGATGGTCACCTTGTGAGCGGTCCTTACCCGAACCATGTACCCTTAGTACCTACAACCTTTACTAATGCCGCCGATTTTAGCACGCCTTCGTTACCACAGGTATGGTAAATTAGAAGTATTTACATACGTATTACGAATTAGCAAAGTTTGCAAAAAAATTTTGGCTTGTAAATTCATTTGTAAACTTGTTTATCTCCAAGGATAGTATTAGTACGGATCTTTTCTTCAAAATTATGTCAATGCGATACGAATTTGCGAATTTCTAAGAAATATCCGATTTAATATAGCAATTTATTTGCTTAGTTGACCTGCTGCATTACTAAATTTTAAATGACTTGTTCTGGTCAAAATTTAAGCCAATATGTATGTATGTATTCGTCGTTTGAAACTTTGAATTAATAGGAATTGCCACCACCCCCAATTTTAAGCACGACTGCCTACGCGCATAAAAGAATGGGAAAGGAGAAGATAACCAAATCCGTGGGATATCCCCCACTTCCGGAAATGGTGGGGAGGGCGTTCGTTGGAGAGGGCACGTCGCAAGGGCGACGGGACGGCTGGGTCACCCACATGATCGCAAACTCGTCCGGGATTATCAACTCGGACATATATTTCGATACCATGTTAGTTTTTTTTAATTTTGGGTGCACTCTAAAAAAAAGTTGTACTAAATTTGCCCAACCTTGAGTAAAAAAGAGGATGACACAACAGTCGAGGTAAAATTTGTCCAACATTGAGTAAAATTATGATGATGATGCACCTTGTTCGCACAACGTTGGGCAAATTTTACTCAATTTTGGACAAATTTTACCTCGACTGTTGTGTCATCCTCTTTTTTACTCAATTTTGTTTAGAGTGTGTACTCACGACAACGTCTAAAATATGTCGCATCGCAACTCATTCAGACAGCTTGTTAAGCTCGCAAAATTTTTGTCGTGAGGGAATTCGCGAAATATGATTACCCAAACTTTGTTAATCGATACAAACAATTCTTTTATATTTGCGAAATACTTAAAAACATGCTCGGTAAATTTGCGAAAAAAATCATACGTCTAAATTGGGTGAAATCTCGTAAATTTCGCAAACTTCGTAAGTTATGCTGATATTTCCAATTTTTGAGATGCATGTACATACGATAGTTGACGTGAGTACGCCCATGATTAAACGGTTTAAAACATATTGTAATTTTTAAAGATATAAATATTTAACATAATTTATGCTCATATTTTACACATGGTATTTGTATTTGTATATATATATGTATTTCAGCAACGTTCTTGGAACCATTCCTATCGTGGGGGACAATGTGTCCTGTCAGGTTGAAAAAGTGACCGGAATGCCGTTCGAATTCATTGGGCATCGCGTTCAAATAAATGGTGCGAGGGGACAAATTAAAAATCCAAGACAGATTGGAAACACGATGGAGGCTGACTAAAGATCTTAACTCATCGGGTTTATTTTGTCTTAAACGGGAATTAAATTCTGACCTGATGGAAAAAATATTATGGATTCCGTTTATTGGGAAACTTGTATAAATTGTAAATTATTATTTAAATAAGTACTTTTAACATTTATGTATCTATTTAAAGTAAAAATTTATGTCAGCCTTTTCGTATATATAAATTACAACTTGTAGAATGTGGGGAAGCAAAAATTAGCGTGATGACAAGTAATTACAAACCTTTCATAAATGTACATTAAATACATTTTTACTTGTCAGACTATGTATTAAGTAGATGCACATACATCTGCTTAATGATATCCAAGAAAAATCAGGCTGCTTACATATGTAACAAGGCATTGGCTCGTAATAAATAAATTCCTCGAAAACGGTCTTGTACAAAAATTATATAATAATAAACAACTTGATGATGAAGAGTGCTGTTAATTACTTATTATGAATGCGAACTGACTTTCCATGGTGAGCAGTTTACCATACTTCAACAGCTACTTAAGTAAATGTGTAAATCTTGACTTGAAGATGTGTCAATAATTAAATAATTGAAATGTATTTGCACAACGTGGTCGATCGAGTTAACTTTTTAACTAAAGATACGAGCATACATATGCTTAATTGGTACTGGTACGTATCAATGACCAAGTATGTACATATCTATGAATGCTGTCAAAAAATTGTAAAAGCTAATCTCATTTTTCATATGAAAGTATAATGAGGAAACTTTATTGCCTTGCTTTATATAATTACTAGCGTATAAGCCCGTCTCCCGCCGGGCGAGCGAGAATTATAAGCTGTAAATGTATGTCGGCAACGAAGTAAAACTAAATGTTCCGCAACGGAAGTGAGAGTGGAGAAAGTTAAGTTTCGAATAGCGCGAAAATTCAAAATAAATTTAATGTCACATGGTGGTTATCTTGAGCTGGTTGTCTAACCGTGGTTGTCTTGGCTATATATCTGCGTGGTTGTCTAATGGCAGTTATCTGAAAGTGGTTGTCTAGTAGTGGTCATCTTCATCACTGCGAAATGCCATTGAAGTGAAGTGGAAGTCAGTCACGGCCGTTACGGGTATACATAACTGGTCACTTCGTTGCGAAGTACAGTGGTTAATCAGTGACTGCCTTCTACTTTACTGTACTTAAAGTAACATGACACATGACCAATCCCACTGACTTCCACTTTACTTTAGTTTTACTTTACTTTCAACCAAAGTGGCCAATCCTGCATACCGTAACTGACCTCCACTTCACTTTAGTTTTACTATAACCACCATCGGATAACCCCCCAGATAACCACCATCGGATAACCCCCCCAGATAACCACCATCGGATAACGCTCCCAGATAACCACCATCGGATAACGCTCCCAGATAACCACCATCGGATAACGCTCCCAGATAACCACCATCGGATAACCCCCCAGATAACCACCATCGGATGACCCCCCCAGATAACCACCATCGGATAACGCTCCCAGATAACCACCATCGGATAACCCCGCAGATAACCACCATCGGATAACTCCCCCAGATAACCACCATCGGATAACCCCCCCAGATAACCATCAGACAACCACTCCCAGATAACCATCAAACAACCATTCCCAGATAACCATCAGATAACCACTCCCACATAAGTACCACACAACCACTTCCAGATAACCACCATCAGACATAATTTAATTTAATTTTTTAAATTAAATTTTGAATTTTGAATTTTCGCGCCATTTGAAACTTAACTTTCTCCACTTTCACTTCCGTCACGGAAAATAACTTTCACTTCCGTTGCCAAAAGACATTTCCAGCTTATAATATAGATAGATGCAAGTCAAAGGTTTATTAAAATTCACTTAATTTTGCAGCTCATTTAGTCTGATTGTTCATCTTGGTAAAGTAAATACCGTAATATTTACACTTTAATTTCAACTATGACCCCATTTCTCACGATTTCATGGAATTTGTCTCAATACTACATATATACACATGTACATTCTTTCTTTCATATATTTATAAAAATACCAATCCACAGTCAACTTGTCCATGTGCACTAAATATTTATTTACATAGTATGATATCCAGCCTCATTTATTACACTTTTCTCCGTATATATAAAGAATAACAAACCGGTCGTTTCTTCAATAACTCGTAAATTACTCGAGCGAATGTAAATTTAAGTTGAAGTATAACATATCAAATATACAAATTTTTGCAACACACGGTTACAACAACGATGACCACTGGTGACCAATTTTTTCGCTATTGTGCACTTATTTACTTCATCCAAGCAACTCAAGCTGTTCAAAAAGTGCAATTCTACAATGGTATGTAATATTATAAGTAAAATATAATTTATGAAAAATTATTTAGTGTGGGGCTCAAATATAATTTAATTATGTTTCCGAATTTGGAGAAATTATAATTAATTTTCGTTCAAAATTAGTCCACAAACTTCATTTATCACTGCACATACTCGGTTAGAAAGCTGGTATGCATAGTCAGGCAGGCATTGATTTCTTGGTATTAAAGTTACTACCCTTTGGTATTAAAATTATAACATACACACTTGCTATTTTTTTAATATGAATACACACAGATATGTATGGCAAAACTTTAATACTAAATATACGAGATTACATATCAATATCGCTATGGTAGTGTCATGCATATATGAATACCGCTTGGTATTAAATATTTTAATACTAGATTTCTAAGAGTACAGATACTTAAATTTCTGCCAATTTTCTTTACCGAAATTTTCCTATTCATTTCCAGATTTCGAAATATCCTCCCCCAATACTGACGGATTGGACGATTATCTCGCCATTGACGTCTCCCACTATCATGGCGTCATAGATTGGAGTCTCATTCCAAAGGATAAGGTTCAATACTCCTTTATCAAGGCTACCCAAGGAGCGAAATATGTGGATCCTATGTTCATCCGGAATTGGAATGAGGCCGGCAAACAGGAGCTGTGGCGGGGCGTGTATCACTTCTTTTCAGTTACGGACAGCCCTGAATCTCAAGTCGCTAATATCGCGTCCACCCTAAAAAAGGTCAGCTTTAATCCAGGCCTAACGGGTCCCTACGACATAATGGCGATCGATGTCGAAGGCGATTCTTGCTCGGCTGATGTGACCACAATGTCGCAAAATCTGCTTTCCGTAATACATCAACTCGAAGAAATGTACGCATTCCGTGTTTTTATATACACACGTGCAAATTATTGGGATTCTTGTGTCAATACGACGTGGTACTACGATTGGATGTTAAGACCGTTGTGGATTTCGTATTATTCTGATACCGCAACGAAGCCGATTCTTCCTAAGCCTTGGGCGAAGGATGAATTTTGGACGTTTTGGCAGTTCACTGAGACCGGAAGTATGCCAGGGATTAAGGGTCATGTCGATCTTAGCTATGTTAGAGGAACTGGTGGGGTTCTTAAGAAGAAGAAGGTTGTGGTGGAACCAAATACTTCCAATTTGATGAAAAAACCGACTGGTAAGTACACACTCTAAATAATTTGGAGTTAAATCGTCACCCTCGGAGATACTTTCGCTAGATATTCCTCGGTCATGATTAAGGAGACGTTTTGTGTCACCAATAGAAAATTGATCAAATACTAATGTATCAATCAGGCGTGGCGTCTTTATATTAATGTTTTTAATTAGTCTTTTATAGAAAATAAAGTTTTTTTACACGGAAGTATTGATTTTTCTAAATTGGCTTTTTTGTTACACGAGTTTTTGACTTATTCATAATTTGACTTACCGTAAATACTCTATTTATAGCCGGGGCTAAAATCCAAAACTGAGTGTCGCAGACCCGGCTACAATTAGAGACCGGCTATAATTAGAGACCCGGCCAAATTTTATTCCGCGCCAATTTTGAATGTTATGAAATCAATTTTTGTCATGCTTAGATGTATTATTGGTCAAATTAAATTAAAACTTTTTATAAATTCAGACCTCATTCGTGGAATTCATCGAATGTACAGCATTTTTGGACGGGTTGTGAATAGGGACAGAGCTGATAAAACATTAGAGACCCGGTCATAATTAGGGACCCGGCTATAATTAGAGACCCGGCTAAAATTTGGAAATCTTGGTCTCTAGACCCGGCTATATTTGGAGACCGGCTATAATTAGAATAGGGCTATAAATAGAGGTTTTACGGTAATCACTACCCAAAAATTGAAAAAGTACCTCCGCGGGTGACGATTTGTCTCCAAAGTATTTAGAATGGGTTCAGAATTTTATGAAACAAATAATAATCAAAATTATGTAGAAGATACTAATTTTATGCACTTTTTTCATTTCAGTGCCAGTTGCCAATAACAGCAATTGTGACTCGGACTGTTGTAGCGGGGCGTGCTACAAGCTCCATATGACCGGGTATTGTCTTAATGACGAGTGCCGATGTTTCACTGGACCTGGATGTCACGACATGGTCCCTTCGTGTGACCTGTACTGCAAGGCACTTTCCATGGAGGAGGAATGCGACAATCAGGACGAGTGTGCCTGCAAAGTCCCGCTGGAGCCTTGCCTTCCCAGCGAGTGCATCGAAGCCTGTGCCGAATGGGGGAAGGATCACGGCTGCTTCATACCAGCGACCCCGGTGTGGTGCATGGAGTATGGACCGTTTGGCTATTGTGGGTGTCACTGCCCCTTCCTGCCCCACAAGGCGAGGGGGAAAAGTGTCGGAGGAAAGAAGGGCAAGGGGAAAATGAAAACGAAATTCGGAACAACTACATCTGGTAAACATGAGAATGATGTTTAAATACAGTGGCAAAACTTTACACTTATTTAGTTTGCCATGCTTGGGAAGTGTAATTTTTTGTGGAACTTTATCTCTTTGTGGAACTTTATCTCTTGGATACAAAATCACTAATTCTTGTCGTAAATATGCTGTAAACTTTATGCCAATGAAATAGAAATAAGTCATAATAAATTTATGCATTAGATACAACGGATGCGAGAGAAATGTGAAATTCAGAAAATTGTCCATATTTTAAACATGCTGAATGTCAAAATAAATAAATAATTTGTAAGTAATTTGTTTTCATTTCGTTGAGCGTTGTATGGAGCTATTTACTTAAACAACATGCCTAATTTGCAAAATTTGTGAGATTTCGGAAAAATTCTTTTTCACAAATTCGTCCAAATACTTTCAGAATTTTTGCATACTGCTGAACAGCCCCCAACAGTATCAAAGTATTCCAGACAAACGGAGATCTGGATTCTGACCTTTCAAGGTTATAACCCCGGGAACATTGGGAACATTCATGGCGAAATTGTCCAAAAAGGGTGAAATTTCACATGTCGTATCGCAGTAACAATCAATATCTAGCCTCCGCGAGGTCTAAAGAATCGGTCGCAGGTGAAATTGACCCATGTCGAAAGGGAATCAGATCGACGTGTCGAAATTTCGACATGGAGCTAGAGAGCTGAAATTTAACACTAATACTCCCCTCTCCTCCAAAATACATATGCAAACACTTTTGATCATGTCGACAGGCCATGTCGACAAATATCGTATCTAATTTATCTGTCGATTTATCGACAGATAAATGTGCGTGTCGATAATCAAACTCGAAAATCGTTGGAGCGCGAAAAAACGCTATTTCATTGTATATATGTATCTACTTAGGTATGTTTGTATCTTAACTATTAAATATATAAACAATTAATAATTATTGTCCAATTACTGTACCCAAAGAAATATTCGAAGTATTGATGCATTTCTTGTATAGTTTCTATAATATTAAATTGTTTAGGTTTTTTAATTTATTTACCAATTTACTATACTTAATTATACAGTCGACAGTAAGTAACATCATGTAAAAAAGAGTTCAAAATATTCGAACCAAGAATCTATTTAATTCGATAACCGAAAATTTAGTGCACTTATAAAGTTCTTGGCCACATTACCGGCGTAATTGATTGGTGCGCAAACGAATTATTTTTAGATAGTTGACCGCTTATGTAACAAGAAACATTAGATAACTCAACCAAATTATGGATAATCATACACTTGCGGGGTATAAATAAATATGTTTGCATACTATAAAATTTTATTAATTACTCGATGTGTACGTAGGTAATTGTACAGAAAAAATCAGATCAGAGGAAAAATGGGCACCAAATACTCAATAAATGATTTTAAAATTCAGAATTCGGAAAGTCTAATTTTCAGAAAATGCTACCAGAAAATGCCGAACTCATTATTTGCCGCCATAGCACATACACTCATAACCGGGAATTACAAATTCACCAACATTCTTGGTATGGTTCGCAACCCTCGTCGTCATCGAATTCCCCTGCGCTAAATTGGTTCAACGCATTTCCAAGTGAAGGAGCAGCCTCCTGACCCGCAAATCGATGCACCTAATAAGCATAATTAATAAATTGGGATCAAATGTCTGAAATAAAAATTAATTAAATTGGCGCAAGATACCCCCTAACAAAAATATAACGTAAAACTTACTCTAGGATGTGCAGAAAAATCTACTCCTTGGTCGTTCGTAGCAGAAAGTTCTTCAGCCATAAGTCCAGCACCAGCAACGTAGACGATGGCGACAATCAAGACAAGGCGAGAAGAATGGCTTTCATTTTATAAGATTTTTCTGAAAATATTATGATTTAAGGAAAATATTAGGGCATGCAATACCGGTATTCGAGTACCGGTATTCACCGGTATTACCGAATACCGAATACCGGTATTGACGAGCTCAATACCGGTATTCAAGTTAAAAATTTGACATATTGATATCGTCCTTCAGTCAATCAAATTCTACTGGTTCAAACAAAAAAACCAAATTTTTGGCAGATAAAAAGTATGGGAAATTTATCACTCACACCCAACATACACTTAACTTTATTTGTGAATATTCTAGAACCTTTATTTTTAAAGTTTCCGAAAATTTTCAAAAAATACTTGAGAAATTGGCGCCTCGATAACTTATAATATTAAATAAGATGTTTATTCAGGTAAATTGTAGTGTATAAAAATTTCTAAAAAGCTCACAATCCGGGTAAACCGTTTTACATGTACGAGACTCATTAAAAGACTGTGTATCTGCAGAAATCATACGAAAAAATACTAAATTTTAAATAGCCGAATTATTATTGTTAAGACGATATAAACCCCAGGAATTCTTCACGGATACCGTAATCTGATACAGTAAATCGACTCAGTCAACTAACAACCATTTTACGACTCAAGCAGAAATTTTTAAATTCACGGAAAATATCTTTTGCTTTTTTAGTAATGTTACATTAGTAATGTACACACGAAATGCATTTTCAGATAATGTTAGAATTTTGGAGTTTTTGGAAATTTTGGCTCATGTACTTGTTTAGGTATGTAGAAAACTTGATGAATTTGTAAAAGTTTCGACATTAGGAGCCAATAGAACATAGTGTGCATATCAGATAATTCATAGTTAAAAATTTGAACCAGTAGCTGATTTGATTTGAACCCACTTGAAATTGTTTCCCTCTGCCAAACACTGGAACTTTGAACCTTATAGATAATTTAATTTGTTAAGAGGTATACGACCAACCTTTTTTCTTAACGATTTGAAGTTATGTTCATTTTAGTGATATGTTGTTACACATCAGCATTTAATGCCTTGCATAGTTTTTACTATGTATTGCTTCGTATGATCATTTTCCATAACTTAATACAAATTTAACATATGGTGTCGGTAATACCGGTATTACCGAAGGTCCCAATACCGAAAATACCGAATACCAGTTTTGGAAAACAACCCCGGTATTGCATGCCCTAGAAAATATGGGAGATGCTGATCTTATTTTAACAATGGTTTAAACTGGAATGATTGTCATAGCAATGGTTATTCCCTTTTTATATTGAAATTTCTGGATTAATTAGGAGCGACGTTAAGTCGATTTGTAGAGCATTATAATATACATACTTATTTATTAGGCAATTGGTCCCGTTTTTTTGGGAGACGAGGTTTTCCCCATAAATTAGTGAAGACGTGGTTTATCGAATTATGTTCTTTAGACAATATTTCCACGTATACCAAAGTCTAAATAGATTTTAGACCCTACTATGCATAATAATTCCTAATTGTCGCAACCAATTATTTATCACCTAAAAAACTTGCCTAATTACACTTAAAGTGATACTTTATAGATATGTATGTATATATGCTTAGTTACAAACCGATAATTACTTACTACGATAAGGTACTAATTGTTTGCATAGTTAGATTCATAACTATGAAGTGGAAAGAATTATTAACTATAATGTTGGGAAAGTAATTTCCCGTGAATGTTTAGCTAGACATTGGTCAGGCGTTCTTTGCCTGAAAGATGTAATGCACAAACTAAAAAACGAGTGGGGTCAAAAAAATGACCCCAAATATTATCCCCAAACATTATCTCAAAGTATCTACCAATAAGTTTGCTAGCATCTGTGCAGCCCTGGAGTGATAAGGTCATATTTGGCGTTATGTATTTATAATACATAGCATGCCCAAGCTAACTGGGAGTGAAATGAAACGCTGTGGCTTCAACAGTTTTAGCTTTACAAACTTCTAGTAAATTTTAATGGAAAGCCAGTTAATTTCTGAGTAGAAAACAATTTTTAGTTTTTGAAATCTCCTTCCCCCACATTAATACAGCCCTGAAGACGCTGCCTCCAGTTCTCGACTGGTGCACGCACGAAATCCATGGACAGATTGTATCATTCTGTGGCCAAAGATTTTTTTAAAGCTTCTACACGTCTGTGAGGCTTAGACCACACCTTTGGCTCTAACTTGGACCATTTTTCATAATCCGGGGAGTTAAACACAGCCAGAATGATGGTAATTCCGAAGTGGAGATAAAGTGCAGAATTTAGTTTTTTACCAACGCTTGCATCATTTTTTCCACTATTTGGTGATGCTGAATCCTTCTGGGAGGTCCAACCGATTCCATTGAACTGAATCTCATTTAGGGGATGTACTACGAACTCAAAAACGTATTTTAAGAAATTTGATCTCCCCACCTTCCCGTCATTTTCAACGAAATGTAGAGGAATTACCCCAATTTGCTCCCACCTTCTAAAACCATCATAAAACCTGGATAATATGCCTTTTTGACCTTTTGTCTATATTGGGAGGTGTCTTTGACCGATTTTGCGTAGATTACACTGCGACCGGTAAAACAAGGACACCTAACATTTTTTCCAATTTCTTAAAGGCCCTTCGGAATGTATAGCTGTTTCTTTCGCCGTTAAGTACTACAGTTCCTAGTAGTCTTGTCGCAAAATTTCGTTAAAATTGGTGCAGAGGTGTTGAAATTATTTAAGAATATGTCAAAATCAGGTGGCCAGTAAAACAAGGACACCCCACAATAAATTATTTGTTTTTGACGGACTTAATTAGAATTTGATTCAACTTGTTAAGAAATTAAATTGTCAGTATATTTGGGATATTTTGGTCAATATATGACGTAAATTAACTCTTTTGTTCTGTCGATTTCACATAGTGAGGGGCAAATTCCCGTACTTGTTGCAGAGGGGCAGGGTAGAAGCTCAATGTGATTTACGGCGGAGTATTTCCAAAACGAACAATCACCTAAGTGTCCGCCGACCCACCGTAACAAGTTTTAAGGTCAAGGGGGACACTTTCGGTAGAACAAGGAAGCGAGGACGCACGCCTAACACGATACAAATGTAAAAATTCAACATTCTCCGTCGCTCTAGCAACCCCTGTGTAACGATTATCCAGATTTAAGCGGAGTTCCAGCTTCCTATTTCAACATCTGATACTAATCAAGTCATGTCTGCTTGCCCCAACCTCAGCAAGAGGAAAATCAAGACGAAACCGGTGCGTTTTTAACGACGAGAAAAGACTTACATAACCCTTTTCTCGTCGTTAAAAACGGTGTGATCCCTCTTAGAAGTCCACGTCATTCGTTCTTTCGGCCATTGAAATTGAGCATCTTTTTGCTTCTGGGGACGCACCGGTTTCGTCTTGATTTTCCTCTTGCTGAGGTTGGGGCAAGCAGACATGACTTGATTAGTATCAGATGTTGAAATAGGAAGCTGGAACTCCGCTTAAATCTGGATAATCGTTACACAGGGGTTGCTAGAGCGACGGAGAATGTTGAATTTTTACATTTGTATCGTGTTAGGCGTGCGTCCTCGCTTCCTTGTTCTACCGAAAGTGTCCCCCTTGACCTTAAAACTTGTTACGGTGGGTCGGCGGACACTTAGGTGATTGTTCGTTTTGGAAATACTCCGCCGTAAATCACATTGAGCTTCTACCCTGCCCCTCTGCAACAAGTACGGGAATTTGCCCCTCACTATGTGAAATCGACAGAACAAAAGAGTTAATTTACGTCATATATTGACCAAAATATCCCAAATATACTGACAATTTAATTTCTTAACAAGTTGAATCAAATTCTAATTAAGTCCGTCAAAAACAAATAATTTATTGTGGGGTGTCCTTGTTTTACTGGCCACCTGATTTTGACATATTCTTAAATAATTTCAACACCTCTGCACCAATTTTAACGAAATTTTGCGACAAGACTACTAGGAACTGTAGTACTTAACGGCGAAAGAAACAGCTATACATTCCGAAGGGCCTTTAAGAAATTGGAAAAAATGTTAGGTGTCCTTGTTTTACCGGTCGCAGTGTAGTTAAACTCGTTTGTTAAAAGATTTTTTCGATGTCAAAATCTTCTCGTCTTTAAAAAAAATCATCTCCATTTTTTTGGTGCGTACCGCTTGAGGAGAGCTCTTCATTTCTTTAATCTGGCTTTCCTATGGGGGATCGTCAGGAGGTGGCAAGTACTACGTTTCAAAGCCCGAAGTCTAAGGTTCAGTTCGAGCACTCGTTAGATAATTTGCATCAACAATGTCAGCTGTTATGATATTTTCCGCTGAAATTTCGTGAATCTCTTCGGATTCTGTCTTTCAGCGCCTTCACGGTGGGTGTGGTCCTTGGAGGTTTTGGAAAAATTCTTCTTCGACTGTCCTTCGTCGATTTGGTCCCCATGAACGTTTTTCTAGCTCGTTTGACTAAATTAAAGTACACGTTCAATTCATGTCACACTTTTCAAATTCGCTATTTCTCTTCCCATTTTTTTGATGAAAAATTATCGCCGCCCACCTCCCTTTAATATTTTCCCTGTTGATATGCTTTGCAATAATAAAAAAATAGATTATCGGCATTTATGCAAAATCGCATGAGGAATCCAATGCACTTATCAGATTTTCATTATCTTTGGCGGTTTCGGGGTAAAGAGCTACTTCCAGTTACATTGGGCATGCTATGTATACATAAATTAGTGTAGTACAATATGTCATTAAACATACTTATTTGCCGTAGATATGAGTTTATGTCTTTCCGAATTTTACTTATTCTGCACAAATTTCCATCACAAATCAAACTGTGTGCACATTAATTAACTCGTAAAAGTTCGCGCATTAAAATAAACCATATCATTTTCAACCACCCCATAAAACTCGATATCCCATTTCCATGCAATTCTTCATCACTCAAATCATTCATTAAACGATTTGCTAGATATTTACAAGCAAAATGCTTCGGCTTTTGCTTTTGTCCCTTACTTTCGAAGTCTATTTAGCTAATTAATGTCCCACAATTTTCACAACATCTGCAAAACTTGGTCGCTTATTCTGGTCGATATTCCAACACGCCAGCATTAATTCGTATCTGGAGCAACAATTGTAATTGTTAATTTTAAAACTTATAATGAAGCAATTCACGCAGTTATTTGTAACGTGTAAATACTTCTGTTCTGTAAAGTTCTGTAAAATAATTTTAGAACGACACCCTTGACCTGAGCAAGTTTACAAAAATGTCCCTTAAAATATTCGAAAGATTTTGCAAAAATTGGTAAGTTTCCGGAATTTGCGGATTGTACAATGTTACCCATGCCTGCGTGAATTGACTAAATAATTTCTGCTTTTTTTTACACACATGCTGTCCGACGCCAAGTGTGGTTTCTCCAGCCTCACACGTCCTGTTTGAAGTCCAGAAAGGAACTTGTCATTACATATTCGATCTCCATATGGGGTGCGTCCTAAGGAAAATATTTCCCAGAGAAGTACACCATACGCCCAAATGTCCGACAGAGTAGAAAATTCCATACGGATTAAAGCCTCCGGTGGCATCCAACGCCACGGGAGCGGTCCCTACATACATAAATAGGTAAGCAAGGATTAGACGAAGTAGACGGGAAGACGACGGGTAAAAATAAAGAAATTACAAGTGGAGCAAGTAAATACTCTAAAATTATTGTTGCGGGTCATCTTATTTGCATCTACTCTATGTGTCAACATTGTATACATAAATATGCTAATAGATATTTACCATTGTCCTTGTTATGTAGTTTTTCTCATCCCACAAATTCCTGGAAAGACCAAAGTCAGATATTTTTGCGACTAAATTTTTGTCCAGCAATACATTCTTTGCGGACAAGTCGCGATGAACGATCTGAAATTGTAATGTGTAATTATTTAACCAATTATTACATACTAAATAAATTGTAGGTACCTTTCTCCTTGAAATAAATTCCATTCCACTCGCCGTTTCGGCCGACCATCGTACCAACTCCGGCAAACGGTACCGTAGCACGACGCCCTTGTTGCAGATGTATCCTCTAAAAAATGCTTTTATTTTACAAATTCAGCACCTCAGACTCTTACAATATATAAATATGTATGTATTTACCCGGCGTCAACGCCCAGGGTTTTGTTAAAAGCTTGAACCTCCAAGTAAGATAACAAAGCATTTCTATGCTTTCTCAAGAAATTTTGCAAATTTCCTTCCTCGCATAATTCAAATATTAGAGACAATTCGTCTAAAATGGTGAAATAAAATAGCAGATTAATATTTTTCTAGTTGTTTATTATTTAGAATTATTGTTGCGGGTCAACTCATTTGCATAAATTTCACGATGAACATTTTCTGCGAGACCGGCTTACCATGTAGAATAAACTCTAATGCGTCAAAATATGCAAATGAGGTGACAGTAGAAATTCAAAAGTATGTACCGGAATGCGTGTAAGATCCAATAAAATGTACGATATTCTCATGTCGACGAAGGCGTGCCAGGATTTTTAGTTCTGGCAGAAAGTCGGTTGAATGCCGCGGAATTTTCAGTGCGACAAATTCCGACCTGTTTCCGTCATGGAGAAAAGCTTTGTAAACTTGTCCGAACACTCCTTCACCGAGCAGGGTGGAATAATCCGGTGTCAAGCTTTCCCTCGGAATATGAAGCGACCGGTCCGAAATGGTGTCAAGTTTGGTAATGATGGTCCCTTGATCGTGGTGGTAGTCTCCTCCCTTTTTCTTAAACTTCTTCAAAAAACGTTCCGCCAACCAAAAGAAGTAAACCTTGTAAAAGAGAAATCCGAAAAATGCTATGCTCGTGGCGGGATTGATCCACCCCAAGAATATCGTGTACAGCACTAAATCAAGGCAGCAGATGGCATAAAATATATAGGAAATCGTGAGCAGGTGACGATAAGCGCGGAAATTTTTCTAAAAAAGATGGTCAAAATGTAAACTTTTGCATATTGCTGATAAAAAAATATGTAAATATTTATTTACCTGATTCGCATACGAATAAAGCTTCAAGGAACTAACAATACAGAAAGTGGAGTAAAAGTAGGAAAAAGTCCAACTCAAGAGTCGAGCTGAAATAGTCGAATACTTTGAAGTCAATTATTTTTGGGAATATTGACAATTTTTCGTACCGTAGTATCTCCACATGGCGTCGGCATAATCATTTCGCAGAACTTTGGGCTGGAACGCGATTGCCACGAGGGCCATCGTCTCCACGACTAAGAGCCAAATTTCTACGATCTACCCAATTAAAAACTATTTACATACTTAATTACTTGTATTTAAATGGTGTACATATCCTTGAAATAATGTACCGCTTCAACTAGACAGAGTTCTTTCATCCCCCACTGAAAAAGAATCGCAAGTGTAGTAAAAAGTTTCATTTTGACGATAACACTGTTACATATCTGGTAAAATGATGACACAGATCTATGTATCAATACCGCTTGGTATTACTTTAATACTGGATTTCTATGAATTAATTTGACGATCCGAAATGTGTGCACCTGTATGTATGCAAATTCTGTAAGAGTGATGAAAGCGGAATAATTGCTGAAAATCAGACGCATTTGTCGTACGCAAATACATATTTACATACATAAACAAACGAGGCGTCATTGTTTATATACGGATTTGTTGATGGTCAGATTAAGCAAAAATGTGCATGAGTAATACCTTTTTGCGCATTTGCACACTATTTCCACTAATTCATACTATCAGTTCCTGTTTGGCCAGTTTGTGGAAATTGAGTCAATGATTTTTTTGCGGATCGGATGATTTTAATGATATGTACATATCTGCCAGGTATGCAAATAAATATATGGCCTATCTACATATGGCACCATTCCTTAGATAAGAATGGAAAAGTATTCTCTGTCAATCAACTCGTTGACGATGAACGAGTTAATTGTTTACTAAATACAGACACGTGTTGACATTTGGTGGTGCCATTTATCCCTGTGTGCATAAATTATGCACCTTGGTATTTCCAATGTAATTAAATATTACTCAAATCCACCAATTATGCATAATTCATGTGGACCATATCTTACTAACTTATTAGTTTAATAGTTTATCGACTAATGTACATATTTTTGTATTGCATATCTGCATATGTATCTACATATCCTTGCTAACTCATAAACTCATTTAAAAATTTAATTAAATTTACAATAATTTTGCATTTAATAATTTTTGAACATTTTAATAATTTTGCATTTATGCGGAATAATAAAAATACGACACATCATGCGGTATTTAAAGTGCAAATACGGATTTTAAATACACCACAAACAAAATGTATTTCCAAACAAACACGAGAAAACATTTTCGTAGTTTCAACAAAGCATCAACAAAGAACTGATGTGAATCATTTTTTATTATTTATTTGAAAAGGTTATAAAATACCAAACACTATTCCTTAAATGATTACATTAGAAATTGGTATGGACTGTGACTTGTAAGGATTTCTGAAAAAATGTATGTATAAATTTAAAAGTATACAGAAAATAATAACCAATGATTACAAACATTTGCAAATAAACATAAGTAGAAGTAGATGGCGATTGAGCTTAAAATAATAATTTGTATAAATGCGAGTATCATTAAGTAAAGACGTTGACACACATTACGATACCCAAGACTCTTAACCACGTCTTTCGAATCTGATCGGAGCATTCTTGGTTTCAAAGATGGCTTGCATCTCGTCCGCAAATTCGTTATCCCGCAAAATATCCAGCATTAGCGAAGCCTTCACTGCACCGAATAAAATCATCGACATGCGCAGTAAAGTCGACCCTGTCCGCGTTAAAGTAAAACGTCGCCGTTTTAATTTCGCCTACAATAAAAATATAAATTCATCCCTGTAATTTAAGTCTTACATATTTAGATAATTTGTTAAAATGCGTACCCTTCCAGGTCGCCATGCTCCTAAGCCCGGCCAATATGGTCTGACTGGCAGGTTCCCCTTTCTTTAACAATACGACGTCCGCCCTTTCGAGATTCCAGCCTTGGAATGGTTCCAAAAACTTGGTCACATGATCAATCGGAACATAGCTGGCGAACCAGGTAAAATGAAATTCTTTCACGCTTGGGAAAAGTTGGACCATCGTTTCCGAAAATGTTTCCCACTTGCAAGTTCCCTGCATCCTCATTGTGACCGATTGAATTCCTCGGTGTCGTCGCCATGGATTTTTTTGACGGGTCGTTAAGTCGGACACTTCATGGAATTTGAAGAGCGTGAGGTCTTTAAGCTTTGGGAGACGGGTTTCGTCCAAGGAATTTTGAATTTGATAAATACACTCGACAGCGAGGGTGACCAATTTTGGCATGACGGGAAGGTCAAGCATCTCCTTCTGTAATAAAATAATGAAATGAGAATCACCAATTAGCAAAGATAATAGTTAAATAAATACTCAATGATTTTTAGAAATGCACCGAGCATACCTCGACACCTGCAGGGTCAGCCACAGGGTCTAAATCCCAAAAATTTCGCAGGGTGTCGGTCATGTTTTTGCAATTCTGGCCGAAGGCCAAAATTCCAAAATGTATCTTCTTAGCATAAGATAATGTGAATATTACTGCATGATACATAGTAATCATGACTGTGTCACTCTTCTGCGCATTATTTTTAACCTTTCAATAAGGTTTCAATTGAGTGACTCAAAGTTGCTTCAAATTTAAGTGCTTATTACAGAGGGGTGGGACAGAAGAAGGAGCCACTTTGCCTAAATTTATTCCGGCCTTATTATTCGTTTGTGAAGTTTGGTAATTGGTTCAGTGTGAAGCCCTTTAGTTTATCTAACGAGCCTCAGTCGCTTTTTCCAACCAGTCATGACCTTTGACACAATTTTCAGAGTGATTCTGCACCACTCGTCCTGAACACTTTTCCAAAGTGCATCAGAACGCACGCGTTTTCCTTTCAAGAAGGCTCTGTTTTAAGTACTCGAATCCAAAAAAAACATCGGATTGATATCAGAGGAAGTAACGAGAGTTTCTATAGTAGGAATAATTGTTATACCCAAACTTTTTTTAAAATCCTTCGTGTAGGCTGATATTTTGTGAGAAATAAGTTGGGATGAGAGCATGATCTCGGGATTTCCTACGAGTCACTTGCTGTAGGTCATTGTGAATGACTCTAGAAATGTTCTCCTACTAACGTTTAACATTTTCGCCATGCAACTTTTAGTTGGTGGATTTACCGTTTTGGCGAAAAATTGATTTTCCGGATAAACTTTTTGGTTCAAGCGGATCTTGGGTATCCTTTCCGTGGGGGTGGAGCTCTAACCGCTTTTTCCCTCCGCTTGATTCCAACGTTTTTAAGTACATTAGAAACGTACTTTCGATCGACGATAAATCCATTTGCAGCAAATTTTCTAACAATGGCTCTCTGGCTCAGTATGTCTTTGGAAAACACTTTTATGCGTGCCTCGCACTCTGGGGGGTGCTGCAGGGGCATTTTTAACCGTAGGGAAAATCTGAATAGTGCTAAATTTTCGTTAACTATCTGGGTATGACATATGCAAATTTTGAAAATGCCGCGACTGTGCATCACACGCCACCCCTAAAATTCAAGTGGCTCCTTCTTCTGTCCCACCCCTGTATGTAAAATCTTGAATTGTGAGATCGTGACGATTAATTTTGCGCTACTTACGCTCCCGGTATAAATTATGCATTTGCTGTTAATTTGAGTTTGTAAGATTACTTACAGCTACATATTTAGTACATTTACACTCTTAGAAATCCAGTGTTAAAATAATCATAGTTAGCGATATTCATATTCATATTAATATGACTCTATGTACCAAAGTGTATCATTGCGTAAGGCTCTCGCCCTTGCAAGTTGATCACTTGAAGCTTCGAAATTTGAAATTGTTGTGGAATATGCTACAGAGGGTGTCCCATTTATTCGTGGAAGAGTTTCACAATTTTTTCACCCCACAAGCGGATATTTTTTAAAGGCGAAACTTGCTCTATTTGATGGCCCTTGTTCTTAACTTCAAGTATGCATCGCTTTTTACAAGATAAAAACACTTCCAGGGACTTTTCTAGGTGTTTTTCTTTCACTCATTTGCTTTAAGCGTTTCAAAATGAGTCAAAATTCGTAAATCGTAGGATGTAAAAATTGCCATTCCACGATGAAAAATCCGAAATAAACCAATCGGTCAATGTCTGATTACCACCCAGGGTTGTCTTGATTTTTTACGACTGAAGGACCAAAATCACCGTCGTCCGTTTTTGCGCACTGCTGAGTTTTCTCGGCAGTAGGCGCAGAAAAGTTAATGGTATTTGAATGTGCAGACCTACATAGGTCATTTTTGTTATAATATTTCCAAAATTAGTTTCAATTAGTCTCTAGATAGTTGATTAACTGCAATTTAACCGTTGGACCATTCTGCAGGATTTATCTGGTGGGTTTAGTCGCTCAAGCAAATTTTAAGACTTTTCGAGCGTTCAGCAGTGGATAGTTTTTCGAAGGTGATAATGATGTTAGACTATTGGATTTGACATGAATATTTCTACCATGCAGTATTTTAAAATTTACTTGCAAATTCATTTCATGGCAATATAATTCAAGCTTTGTTTTATACCGGTTCCCGTGGAAAATCGTCTGGAAAAGTGTTTCACTAGTACCTCTGCTTCAGGGGAGCACAGTGGTCGCACTTTTTAAAATAAGTTTACAAAAAAAGTCAGGCAGCTATTTTTCGAGTTGCTCTACACGATTTTGGCTTCAGGTTTGAATTTTATTTACCCGCCAGTGAGCACGGATGTCTCAAACCTTCACACGAATAAATGGGACACCCTGTAAATAAATACATGCTACATGCCACAAAAATTTCATAAGTCTACAATGGAAAATCAATTTCGCACACGATTTCAAAGTGAAGAAGTCGAGAAACAAGTTTTTCGTATTTGATTAACAAAGACTCGAAGAATGTCTGACTACATTTCATCGGACAAGGTTGTGGCCGTGCAAAAATTAAGTTATACAGAAAAAAGTATGGAGAATCCAAAGATGTACGCGTCAAATAACTACCATTTGTAAAAACGATCAGATCGACCCGTCGAAAGTTAAAAACGATTGAATCTTTTTTAAAACTATCCACCCACGTAGGTGTCTGATGCGGCCATGAAGTCAAAGATTAATAAATACAAACCACTTGTATCATATTAAGGCCCATAAACTGTGGGTCAAAGCGTATGCAAAGAAATTTCCATCAAAACATAAAGGAACTAATGAAAAAATGGTAATCGCACAACCTCCGAAGCTTTACAACAAAAGTCCACCAAAAAAGTTGGTCATTCACGACGAGTTCTATAACGTGACAGAAACTCCGGGAAGGCAATTTTTCGATGGGAAATAAATCTCTCAACTGAAAACTGAAGAGAAACTAAAATGTTTTTCGAAAATTCTCAATAACTCTCAGGTTTGGCTGGCGTTGGATAAATTTGCGCATGTTTCGGATCCCTCAGTTCATAAAGGCTGTGCTGTGAGGACACAGGTTTGTTTTCAGAAATGTTTGATAGACCGTCTGATTCCTTTCATGGAGGAATGTAATTTTTTGGCCGATCTTGGACTATCTAATCCACAATGCAACAGCTATCAAGGAAGAAATCGAATAAAAATTCAGTTTGACGTCGAAAAATGGAAACCTCACATATGTACATCCCTCATCTTCGCTCAATAAAAAATGTGGGTTATGTTGAAGAATTACTCCCAGCTGTGGGAAACAGTCGATAATTGAAGAAAATTTTGGTTTCCGTGGCAGACAATTAGCAATGAAGTTTCAAAGTCTTCCGAAAAAGCATTAATGGCGGACGTGATGAATTATATCAAATATGAAATGGACAATGTACAGAAGTCTTTTTTGTTCGCGTATGTAGGTAGTCGGATATATTTGTAACACTCTACACAAATTTGAGATTTTTGAAATGGTTTTTTGACTAGAGTGAGTCCTATAGGAACAGAGCCTAAGTGAGTAGCTGCGGGATGGGTACTTTCCGCAAGGCCGGGCCATCGAGCTTACTTAAAAATTTGCATACAAAAATTATAATTTCTTTTACATAATAGCTTGGCCACATCTAGTTTTTGCGAATTCCTATTAGGTGACAAGTTTCGCGAACAACGAAGTTTTCGGGAAACAGTCCAATTCACAATTTTGTAATTTGTCTTGTTTATTTATTATTCTTGACGCTTGTTAAAGTACATGTACAGTACCGGTACATGAATTGGAATCAGAGCTCCACGTCGGTGAAATATCCGCCGCAGCCGATATTTTTACCCTTAATTCTCACTGAGAATTTCTCAGTCAAAAATTGTAACAAATATATTTATTTAACTTTGCGATATGAAATATCAAGCCGTTACTCAAATATTGAACGGATCATTTTTAATTTGTTCAGTGACCACAATAAGCAGCCCTATATTTTTTACCTGGTGACAATGGGAGAATTTTGTTGCGTGACAGAATTTTAAAAACATTTCTCTACCAAAACCATTCGGATTTTCGAATGTTGGTGCAACTTCAAAAATTAAGAAGTTGTATTTTTCAAGTCAAATTGAAATTTGCAGGCTAAATTTTTCAGATGTGCACTTTCAAAAGGGTTTTTTGTTTTTACATGTTTCTGGGTTTAGAAAAGTCCCAAGACTTAGGATTAGCCTAATTTACAATTTCCAAACAAAGTGCAACATGGGAAGTTGATCACTAGCAATTTGGGATACATTAGGAAATAGTCAAAAAACGATTCCAGAAATCTCAAATTTGTGTGGAATATTATAAATGCATCTGACTACCTACCCAGATCCTCGAAATCTCTACAACTTAAAACCATCGCATAATTAAATTATGAATTTGTGCAAACTATGTCTGGACTAGGGATGTGCCGTCATGACATGTCATTGACAAATTGACATATTGACATGTCATAAATGTCCAATTTGTCAGACATTTAAAATTTGTGACAAATATGACAAATATGACACATATGACAAATTCAAAATGTCATAAATGTCCAATTTGTCCGACATTTAAATCTCAGACAAATTGGACATTTATGACAAATTGAATTTCACAAATGAACAGTTGTCAGTGTAATCGACATTTATTTTAAGCAGTAAACTAAACTTTTTTGAATTTTTTCAAATAAATCTGGAATGTCCCAAAATTTCGAAAATCTCAAAAAAGTTGAGTCTACTGGATATGGTCACACAAATATCTGGGATCGCAAAAATGTAAATTTTATCAATATTCGAAGAAAATTGGATTTTGGTGGATATTTGAAGTTTGTAACTTCTGCAGCTTTTATCACTTTGAGGGGGTGTGGCGGACGCAAATGTGGCCGTCTTACATTAGATTAGAGGTATCAAATATTCAAAGGGCATCAAGATCTAAAGTGGGGCATGTAGAGGGTCGCTCCTATTGAGTCCACATAGGAATTTTTGTATTCAAACATTTGTCTGTAAACAATGGCTTATGTATATCCAGCATTAATACCATTGATAAAATGGTAATTGGTAAAGTTAGAAACAATTGATAAGTAGTATCATAGGTAAATTAATTAAATCAATTACTTAAGTGCACTTGTCTCGTTTACTTTTGCTGTGGTACCCTTATTTGAAGATTTAAACACTCCTGCCTTAAAATCTGCAATATCTTCCTCTACGAAGTCCATCGTAGGATTTTAAAATTTTCCGTAGCTTAATTAATCGAATTAAATCAATGTATATACCAGTGTGTGCAAAAAGGCAGCCTTTTTGCTTTTTCTGCATGCCTTTTTGCCTTTTTCAATGCCCTTTTGCCTTTTTGCCTGTTTGATGCCTTTTTGCTCGATTTTTGGCGATTGAACCCGATTTATTGTCGTCTATAACGTATTAAAGAAATTGCAGAATCTGCAATATGTTTTTAAGATTGTATTGGAGGGTTCTGACTTTCATCAATACTTTAAATTAGTTGAATACTTTTCCCCAAATATCTTCAGCGTTGTTTCTACATCGCCATCAGCTTAATTAATCAAATTTTGACACTAGAGCTTATATTTGCGAAAAGTATTAAAAACGCAATGAATAAGTTCCACTTTAATTTTATCACGGGACTCTCGTCTCATCTCGCCCCAAATTAGCAAAAGGGCAAAACGGCAAAAAGGCACAGATTTTTGTGGGGCAAAAAGGCACTGCCTGCCTTTTTGCTCTGCACACACTGGTATATACCAACGTTTATTTTCTTGATAAGGAGGCATTCCAAAAGACTCAATTACAAATTCTAAAATAAGTGGGGAATATTGACACAAAATGTCATATTTGTCCAATTTGTCCAATTTGTCCGTCATATTTGTCATAAATGTCGGACATATTGAAATCGTGACAAATTGGACGGACAAATTGACAAATATGACATTTATGACAAATATGACAAATATGATATATATTCGCTTGACACGGACAAGCTCCATCCTTAGTCTGGACACCTTTTGTACATTTCAACAGAGCAGGGCGTGGCCGTGCAAAAATTAAGACTTGCATAAAAAGTATGGCGAATCCTAAAATGTCGCCCTAAAATACGCAGCATGAGTAAAAACCATCATAATGACCCATTAAAAGTTAGAAAAGATTGAATTTATTTTTTGAAAGTGTCGCTCCATGTTCGTGCCTGATGCTGACAAAAAGTAAATGATTAATACAAACTACGTGTATCATATTAAGGCCAATAGATTGAGCGTCAAAACGTATGCAAAAAAAATTTGCACCAAAATATACCTAAGGCCAAAAAAAATGGTAAACGCAAGACTTCCCAAGCTTTACAGAAAAATTTCACCAACAAAGTTGGACATTTGCCACGATTCCTACGCCGTTAATAACGCGAGAGAAATTCAGGGAAGTAATTTTTTCATGGCAAATATATAAACGAGTGACACCCGACGAGAAATTAAAATGTTGTATTATTCTCAAGAAATTCTCGATTGTGCCGGCGTTGGGCCAAATTGGGCATTTTTCTGACCCTTAAGTTCGCAAGGACTGTGTGGGCGCACATGTTTATTTTTAGAAATGTATGATAGACAGTCTAATTCTTTTCATACCCACGTACCATAAAATATAAAATGTAATTTTTTGGATCGATCTTGGACTAATCCAAAATGCAATAACTATCATGGAAGAAATCGATAAAAATCAGTTTGATGTTTAAAAATGATCTCACAATTAACTCCCGTAGAAATTTTTCATAGCGTGTGAAATTTAAGAACTAGGTTAACACCATGAGAAATTTTTTCACAGCGTCTCAAATGTAGACAACAGGTTTACCCCCTGAGAAATTTTTCACAACGTCGGAAATTTACGAACCAGGTTGACACCCTGCCACATTTTTCACTGCGTCTCAAATTTAAGATCCACGTAGACACCCTGAGAAATTTTTCACAGCGTCTCAAATTTAAGAACCAGATTGACTGACACCCCGCGACATTTTTCACAGCGTCTCAAATTTGAGATTATGCTAGACACCCTGGGACATTTTTCACTGCGTCTCAAATTTCGGAACCACGTAGACACCCTGCGTTATTTTTCACCGCGTCTCAAATTTAAGAACCACGTAGACACCCTGAGAAATTTTTCACTGCGTCTCAAATTTGAGATTCTGCTTGACACCCTGCGTTATTTTTCACTGCGTCTCAAATTTAAGAACCAGATTGACACCCTGCGAAATTTTTCACAGCGTCTCAAATTTGAGATTCTGCTTGACACCCTGAGACGCTGCTTCGCAGCGTCTCAGGGTCTTTTTCGTCTTGCAGGGTGTCCGACCCCGCGGCTTCGCCGCAGGGTCCCCGGCGTGTTAAGAGTATACCCGTGTCGAGGTATGGCACCGAGTACTCAAAGTATTTTCTCAATTTCTTCCACACTGTCGGTAGATTTTGCGATAATTCTATGAATTACTAGGTGGCCGAGGTTTATTCGGTACCCGGCCAACGAGCAGAAACAAGTACTCGGTACTCTGCCGATTCGAATTGTTCACCTCCCGAGATGCATACCCAATAATTTTTACCTGATAATGCTGATGGATTTCTTCCGTGAAGTACGCTAACTTCATCTCGACGACGGAATCCTTGATTTGCGTAAGCATGCCGGCCACCGACGTCAAGTTCAAATCTCCCAGTGGAATATCGGGAATATGTATGAATTCGAATTCAAACACCTTGATGCTTTTGCACCGCTCCAGGTCCAGATAGGACGTGGCCGAGATTTTCAAAACGGTCAAATTGGGCGCGGCGTCGAGCCAAATTTGGAAGAAGGGTTGAATCACGAGATGGTTGTAGCCACTACTGCGACTAGTAAAGTAGTAATCGTCACCAAACTTTTGTATGAACTTGAACGAAGTCAAGTTTGGTTGATCCTTAAGTTTTTCCAGAGCTGGAGATTTCGAGCCCCATGATTTCTCGATATCGATCTTGAGGGAAACGTGTCGAAGGTTTGTAGACTCCAGCTTCCGAATCCCTGTGAGAAATGCGGTCATATGCTTCTTCTGGTCGAGGCGGACCTTCAGTTCTTGAGTTCGTTGATGAGCGACATCAGTGATGACCTTGGTGATTACTTGACCCCGCATCTGGGTTGGCACAGACGAGTCGAAGAAGAAATTCGAGGAGATTCGAAGTCGTCGGACCAATTGGTCAGCCACGGCGACCGGTTCGGACAACTTGGTCCCATCGAAGCGGAAAAGTTTGTTGGCCCGGAGAAATGTCCGCTTTCCTAACACAGTCGCGCCGACGTCGCCCCATGCGCGGCATACGAATCGAGCCTTCTTCAATTCGGGGGTGGAGAGCTGGGCGAGAAGGATATCGAGAACCTAGCGCAAGATTCAGAATTTAAATTATTGGATTATAAAGAAATTATAAACTTAAAAAGTGAAGATCAACTTTCTACCACAGGATTCAGTAGAGGGTGTTCAAACATGTCGATATTTTTATTCGCCTCGTCGTCACGGGGTTTAATAGCTGGAATACATTATCCATCGTCGCAAGTTTAAGTTCAAAAACAAGTACGCAAGATAAAAAAATAGATAATAAAGATAAAGATTGATTTACCCAACGTTGCAAAACCCTTTGATGAGCAGGGAGACTGCGAGGACAGCTTTGGCTCCATTCTGTATAAATTATGATTACAATTTGTAGATAAGTATTTGTGCTTAAACAGGAAATGGAAATTACTCCCCAGATTACAATAATAACGAAAATGTAATAAGCCACTTTTTCCTTGAATGTATTTACATACCCTTTTATTCAAAGTAGATAAGTCAAAGATTTGCATAAGCCAGAGGGGATAATCAGAAAAATATTGAAGGAACGAAAACCACAAACGACAAGTTGTAAATCCGCAGATGACACGTTATTTAAACTTCCCTCTCATCTGCATTTTTCTCACTGTTTCATTTACTTACTTAAATTCATTGCATATGTAATGAATTACATAATATGCTATAATTCGAAATTTCCAATTTTCCATTGACCTCCTTCGTACAAAGTTACGTAAAAAAATATTTGAAAACTAACTGACATTTTTTGGAACACATGGAAAAGAGGATTTTAAAGAGTACCTGAAAATTTTCATTAGTAATTTATTTTATTTTGCATTGAAAAATTCTAAAATATATAACACCCCGTACATATTGCTTAAATACTCATCTTCAAAATAAAAATACATTGCTAATGTAAATCTAGGTTGCTCGTGACTTCCAGGTTTTGTTAATAATAATAATAATAATAGCCTTTATTACCCTCATTTACTAGTACTAGGGAATGCACAAAATGAAATTTTAGCATAGCACACTAGCCTATTTTCGTGAGCTTACAAACAGAAATAACTTACTTTAAATGATTAAATAACAATAACTAAGGGCTAAATTACTATATTTAACTTAACAATATATATGTACGTAAGATATTATCTACTCTTAGTTTGTATAAAGTTAGCTATAATCTATCAAATTTGTTAGAGCTTCAAATGACAAGCCAAAAACCGTGGATTTTGATTTCCGTTCGTCATTAATTTTGCTGATTATCATATTAATGGGGGAATTTTTAAATTTTGACGACTTAATTACCGGTTGAAATAGTAAATCCTTGTTTGACCTCAATGACACACCACTGCACGAAGCACGCTGGAATTGCGGCAAAAGTGCCTATACCTACCAAAAAATAACTTGTAAGCAAATTTATTAAGAGCCAATTCTCTCCTTTCATTTAAAGTTATCAACTCAGCTTCCTGCATGCATTCAACATAATTTAAATGATCAACTCGTTTTCGGAAAATTATACTTAAAGCTTTTTTCTGAACACTTTCAATTTTGTAAACTAATTTCTGGTTCAAGCCAGAGCCAAACACAACTGAACAATACTCAAGATTACACCGAATATATGCACCGTAAGCTATTAATAATTCTTTACTGGAGAAGCCAGCATTGAATAATTTTCTTAACTGAAATAATTTAGAGTTTGCTTTCGCAACAATGTTTTTTATATGACTATCCCAACTAAAATTTGGGCAAAAAGTCACCCCTAAAATTTTTAAGCTCTTTACAACGGGTATAGGAACTGAATCAATACAAAAGGACTTAGTAGGAAAATTAACTCTTTATCCACCAAAATTAACTACCAATATTTCACATTTACGAGGATTGGGCGTTATTTTAACTGCCTTACACTCTTCACTCAAAATATTGAGTGCAGATTGCAATTTGGGTGCATTACCAATAACTCTTTCAGCAATAACCAAATCATCAATGTATCCAGCTATACAAAAACTATACAAAAATTGGGGTTAATATCAAGTAATTTGATTTTTAATGCATTCAGAATCGAATTAATTAAGATAATAAACAGAAGAGCAGCTAGTTTGGTACCGGCTGGTGTACCGCATGTTACTCTCTTGGGATTTGAAAACGACTTTTCAAACTTAACAATTTGCTTACGAAATTTTAAGAAGGATAATAACCATAAAATATCAATGTCGTGTACACCAAGATCAACAAGAAGTGCGGCCAACAACGAGTGGTCAACTAAATCGAATGCTTTGAGACTATCAATAGCAGCAATTAAAACTGTAGCGCCAGGAATTTCGATTGATTTTAAAATAAAATGGTTAATTTGAATTAAATAATGCGCAGTAGACGATTTTTTTAAAGCACCAAATTGGTTAACGTTGATTTTATCAATTATTTGAGAATAAATCCTGTCAAACATAAAACTCTGTGCAATTTTTGAAAATACGTCAGTTTGAGTTATCGCACGGACGTCATCAAGTGATGAACAAGTTACTTTCTTGAGTAAGGGGGTGACGAAACCGATTTTCCAACAATCAGGGACAGTAAAAGTTGCAAAAGATTCATTGAGGATAATGGCTATTAAAGGGCCCAAGAAATTCGAAGCGTACTTTATAAGCTCAGTAGGGACTAAATTCGGACAGTTGGACTTTTTCTTATTTAGTTTTCTAATTACTCTCGCTCTTGTTGAAGAAATTAATAATTATTTAAAGTTTGAGTTAGGGAACAGTCTGGGCATCCTAGTGAGCGAGTTGACTTTTTCTCCTCGCCACTTACCAGTAATGTAAATGATTTTTGTCACTAAGACTTCTAATTTGCAGCTAATACAAAATGGATTGATTTCGTTTTGGTGGCAATAAATTCCCAAGTTTGTGCTTTACAATTGCCATGTTGCATAAATTCCATAATAAATCTCGGTGAAAAGTATTGGACTGAAACATGATATGAGTCCATGTTTCATTTCAATACTTTTCTCTGAGATTTATTATGGAATTTATGCAACATGGTAATTGCAAAGCACAAATTCAGGAATTTATTGCCACCAAAATGAAATAAATCCATTTTGTATTAGCTGCAAATTAGAAGTTTTACTGACAAAAATAGGGAATTATCGTGTCCATCTTGCCCCACTCAAATATTGAGACACGGGGGAACTGAACATAATAATAATGTGTTCAGCTTCAAAAGTTTGCTCATCTGGAAATCTCAAGAAATCTCATCTGGAGTGATTTCGAATAAATTTATGCAAGTCTTGCAAGTTCGTATGGAGGTAAGATTTTTTACGACTTGATGTATTATAATTTCATAGCATAACTTTCAATCCGGCTGACAATTTGTAATATTTTACAGACAGACACGCAAGTCCACGTAAAGTCCATCTTTCTGCGTTACCTGGATACTACAAAGGTACTTTTTGGAAATATAAATACACTACTTGATTTGGTTTATATGTAAACAATACAAGTTCAACTACATTTGGTCTTATCACTAGGATCTGCATTAGTTCCGGACAATAGTTACACGGACAAATAAGATTTGACACGTGTGAATAATTGCATTGTCAATTTCATCTCGGAATAAGTTGGTTATCGAGATTCCGATCGAGAGCTGGGTTTTGGACGATTCGGACACCGAGTTGATGAAGCTGGTCCCCTTGTTGGTCAAGCTGGTACGTTTCGTCGTCTCTAATTTTTATCCCATTTTGAAAATTTGAGTAATGTTATGGTTGTATTTTTCAGAATTAAGACCTTCGCCCTCCTACATTCGACAGTTCTAAGACGCAGACTTCTACTTTTAGAAGACGTATGTGTTGGAATTAGACTATTCTCATTTGTGTGTCAAAGTGAAGCAGCGAATTCTTACCGTTTTAGTACAACCGATTCTTTCAATACGTAATCAATTGAACAACGATGCTTTTATTTGTATTGGTTCTCTGCTAATCATTGGGTTTAGCCACAAGCAGCGAATTGTAAACCAAGAAATGCAAAAGAAGGCTTGGCTGGATGCCCAAATTCAACGTCACAAATTTATGAATAGGATAAGTTTTTGAATTATGGAAATTTATCTCAGTTTTTAAGCTTGTCTAGTTAGAATTTTAGCTTGGAAATAGTAACGTACAGAAATTAAAGTTAACTTTTGCTAGCTAATTAAATGACATGAAATTTATTAAGATAATTACTTTTGACTACAGAATTTTCCCGAAAAACAATTTTACACAATAATTCGTTTATCAGGTCACAAAAATCGCGGAATCTTATTTGCAAATAAACTCGATATTTTACAGATGGATTCCAATATTAGCTCACACAATCACATAAATTTATACAAGGATTCAAATTAAACAACATTTACAGATGCATTCAAACTAAATACAATCATACAATTTTACAGAAGGATTTCTAACTAAACACAATCATACAATTTTATATAAACACAATCATACAATTTACAGAAGGATTCAAATTAAACAAAGTTTACAGAGGGATTAAAATGTAAGTCACAATTTTACAGAAGGATTCCTAAATAAACACACAATCAGACAATTTTACAGAAGGATTCCGAAACAATATCACAAACACACAATGGGCCGCATATCAAAAGCAAATATTCAACGTATGAAAAATATAAAACGGGCGACATTATTGAGGACACTGCAATCCACGCCAATTCCGGATACCTCAGAGGCTACCAGAGAGCCCCCAGCCTTGCAACTTGAATTTGTCGATGCACAGGAAATGGAGCCGACGTGATAATATTGAACTCTCCCCCCCTGCAAGTACTAGGTCTCAACAATTGACACCAACTCGTTGCTTACCATTCATACGTGGTAAGAGACTTTTTCGAAGTTCGACATCCTTCTATTCAGAGTCACAAGTGTCTCCAAAAACTTTGGAAGTGAATAGGAGTTGCTTGGGAAAAGCGAGGACATATGGAAGAAGCTCTGAAATTGTACAAGATCCTGAAATTCCAAATCTAGCGACAGAACCTGTAGCAAAATTGCCAGAGGGAAGAAGACTCTTCACCATGACATCTCTTGAGAATATGATGGAAATGGCTGCAGATCACGCTCGAGTTTGTAACCGTCCTAAGTGGAGAATTGTTAGTGAGAACAGAAAAGGCTTTTTGACAACCCTATCCGCGTTATGTATTCGATGCAAATCTACAATTGCCTTCGACAACGACGACGGCGCGAAATGCTTAGCTGTAAATACAGCTTCTGCATGGGCAGGGAATACCACTGGAGCAGGGTATACAATACTCAAACACATTTTCACCGCCATGGACGTACCCACCATTGCCTTCAATTCTTATATCGAACATGACAAGAAATTGGCGGAGCAAATTAAAAACTCTTGGACACTGGTTGAGAATGGCCAAGAAGAAAAAGGATTAGCCATAGAACTAGGGCAGGTTGATTCGGATGGTACTCCTTGGACATGGGTTTATGGAGACGGTCAGTGGAGTAAACGGTCCTACAATCATGTCGGACTAGCACTTTCCGGGTCAGCAGTTATTATAGGTGGTCTTTCTAGGAAGCCCTTATTCATTGGCGTTAGAAATAAATCGTGCATTATCTGTAGTAGGAACGGGAACAAAGTTCACGACGGTTGTTTCAAAAACTTCAAAGGCTCAGCTTCTGAAATGGAAACTAGTATCATTCGCGAGGGATTCGCAAACAGTATTGAGCAACATGGACTTCGTTATAAGAAATACATTGGTGATGGAGATTCAAGTGTCCATGTTGCTATCAAAGATGTGTATATCACGGAATCGTACTTCACCACTGTCGAAAAAATCACCTGCAGCATTCACGGACCAAGAGCGATGTCTCGTAGTTTGTATGGACTTGCTGCCCTAAGCGCTCCAGCGCACAACTATCCTGTGCAATATCGACAGGCGCTAAAAGAAAGAATTCACTTGTTCGGGAAATTTGCAAAATATATGATTGGAAATCATATGGAAAAAGCGCCCGTCACGAACTCCACCTCCTTGGCCAAGGATTTACGAGCCCTTCATTATCATATATTTGAGGATCATTCGAAATGTTCGACACATGTCTGTGACGATGGCAAAATAATTGTTCCCATGAAGTACCGCAAGCCTACAAACATTGCCTCAAATTCTCCGAAATTAAAGAAGGTTCCCGACGGAATTCAAGGACACCGATTCTGGACAGCGATTTCGGACATTGTCAATCGGTTTGCGGATCTCTCACCCTCACTAATGCAGAATAAGAATACTAACATTGCTGAATTATTTCAAGCTCATGTAAACAAATTTCTGCAAGGAAGACGGACAAATGTGGTCATGCGGGGCTCCTACAATAAGAAAGTGATGGAAGCAGGATTCTCGTTCCTATACGGGACAACCTGGTACGTCGAGCTGTATCGATCAGTTTTCGATGAAAATCCATCAGACCTTTGGATTCAAGAAAGGTCAAAGGAACTTAAAAAAACCGAGAACAGAAAGTCAAAGCCTCGAAAGAAGCGACTTCGCGTGGCCTTCTGCACTTCAGCCCCACTTCCCCCGTTTTTTAGTCGGAAACAGAAAATAAATGGTGACAAGGACTACGGTCTCTATGCTGAGCGAGACGATATGTCCCCGGATTTGTTACAGGAAAAACTGAACGATTTTATACTGCAAAAAAGCGTATCGTCCCGAGAAGAGCAATGGAACATTCATCTTGAAACCATTGGACAACATTCTAACCCACGTTATAAAGATCGTCGTAAGGGAATGCTAACAGCCAGCATTGCCGGCAAACTTCTAGGGCTGAAAGATTCGACTTCAAACGTGGGGACATTGGATGGGTTACTCTACCCTGACGATATTTCAAATAAGCCACCAATAGTTTGGGGACACACAAACGAGTCGAAAGCCCGAAGCTTGTACCAACAGCGATTAAAATGGGAAGATAACGATAGAGAAGTGGAAGTGTCAGATGCAGGACTATTCGTATGTTTGGAATTTGGAGTTCTCGGGGCGAGTCCTGATGGGATCGTGTATGACCATGGGGAGGAAGGAATTGTCGAAATTAAATGTCCCTACACTGAAAGATATGGCCTGCCCGGTGAAGTCGCAAAAAGAAAAACCAATGCCTTTCTGGAAGAATATGAGGAGAATGGTACGAAACATTACCGTCTCCGGAAGTCATCCCATTACTACGACCAGGCAGTCATGCAGCTCCACATCACAAGGCGGATATTTTGCGATCTGGTCGTATGGACGCAAGGGCCGATGACAAGAAATGAACTGACAGGCGAAGATTGTCCCATCACTAAAGAAGGACATTTGATCCGTATTCGTATTTACAGGGATGGCGAGACTCAGAAGAGATGGGACAAAATTCGCCTAAAGTTGACTCGATTTTTCTTGGAGGATTATGGGCCAGAACTCGTCGATTCACGGATCGATCGGAACATGGGTTATCGTCAGCCCTTGTACAGGAAACAAAAGATTGACGAATTGGCAGATAAGAAGACCAATTCGCAGCCACCAAGAATGCCAAGGAAAAGAAAATGTGATTCGAAACAACAAGTTGCAAAATCTCAGCAACCGTCAACTTCCAAACGTGCTTTCAATATTCAATAATGAAATAAACCATGGTAAACGCACATAAAAAGTATCTTTAGTCTTATTTCATCCCATTCATGCCTATAACAACGCGGGAACACTCAATTTCACTATATTTCATGCATTGATTCAATTTCAGTAAAAATCTCATTTTGCCCCGACCACACCCCCTGGGTGTGAGGGAGATTATCCGATTGGCCCATAAAATCGTATGCATAATGCCGCAAACCGATTTAGATTATCTCTATTCTCTCCCGCGTTATCCTGCTAACAAACAGACAGACAGACAGACAGACAAAGTCTTGGCATAAAGTAGTAGAAGCTACCTCATAATTTTTTTATTCTCTCACAAACTCAAAATTTTGAAAATTGTATTGGAAAGGGTGAGATTATTGCTTCTTTAAATAAATAAATACATTTAAAATACTAACTATTTTTTATCGTGTTTTTATTTCAAATATGATTTTATTTTATTTCGTCATCAACGATTGAAATATTTGGAAACTAAATCCAATTGATGCGCGATCAGCATATCTCGATCCATCTGAAGCTGTGCGGGGTTACGGGGAACATGGAGGATAACTTCCTCCGGCATGCTCCTCGATGATCCAGTTTTTGATGTTTTCAAAGCTCTTTTCATTCGTGATGTCGTAGACGAGCATGATCCCCATCGCGTCGTGGTAGTAGGCGGTGGTGATGTACATACAGTCGCCTCCTGTCGCCGAGTAGGGAGTTGGGAGGGAGTCGGGAGCAAAGCGGGGCGAGAATTGCGATGGGGAGGTGGGAAACGTAGGGGGTAGGCTGTTGTGGTCTTATTTTGCCAGTAGGCAACCCTCATAGCACGACCCGCGATCCGATAACCGTTTAAATGTTCCAGGGATCTCTTCGCATCTTCTGCGTCGTAATTATTTTTACCTGACGATAACTGTCACAGATTGCATCCAACTTCACCTCGACGACGGAATCCTTGATTTGGGTCAGCATGCCGGTCACCTCGGTCAAATTCAAGGCACCCCGTGCATTATATAATGAAATCTTAATAAATTTAAATTCAAAAACCTTGATGCTTTTGCACCCTTTCAGATCCGGGTAGAAATTAGCCTGGATTTTCAAGACGGTCAAGTTGGGTGCGGAATCAAGCCAAATTTGGAGGAAGGGTCGAATCGCAAGATGACTGCGGGAACTACAACGCGTGGAATACTCATAGTGAAACTGGAAAGAGGTCAAGGTTGATTGAACGGCTAGTTTTTTCAGAACCGGAAATTCCTTGCCCCACGACTTGACCATATTGATGTGGAGAGAAACGTGGCGAAGGTTTGTGGATTCCAGCTTCCGGAACCCTTTGAGAAATCCGGTCATATGCTTCTTCCGGTTGAGGCGAACCTGCAGTTCTTGCGTGAATTGTTGAGCAACCTCGGGCATGACCTTGGTGATAACTTTAGTTCACGCATCTTGGTGGGGATGGACGGGTGGAAATGAGAAGAATCCGAGTGGATACGGAGTCGTCGGATCAAATTTTCAGCCACGGCGGCCGGTCGGGATAAATTGGTCCCGTCGTAGCGGAAGAGTTTGTTGGCCTTAAGAAATGTCCGCTTTCCTAACACGGTCGCACTGACGTCGCTCCATTCGCGGCAGACGAAACGAACTTGCTTCAATTCGGGGATGGAGAGCCGGGCGAAAACTAAGTCGAGAACCTGGGGAAAATTTGATTATAATGAAAAAATCTTAAAAGTATTAAATTATATTAAAAAGTGGAGATCAACTTCTTACCACAGGATTCAGCAGAGGGTTGGACATGCCGATATTTTTATCCCCCTTGTCGTCAGCGGCTTTAATCACTAGAATAATAGGTGTCGTCCAGTTTAAGTTCTAAAATTGGCAAAAGATAAAATCAGATTGATTTAATACCCAACGTTGCAAAACCTTTTGATGAGCAGGGCGACTGCGGCGAGGACAGTTTTGACTCCATCCTGTATAAATTATGAATTATGATTAAAATTTGTAGAGTAATGAAATGTTTCATTACTTTCTACCTTTTTAAAAAGGTAGAAAGTTGAAATAACTTTTCCCTGTACGGTGCAGGCTGCACCATAGATTAAAACGATAACCAACTTGTAATCAACCACGTTTTCCTTTAAGTATTTACTTACCTTTCGAATTAGATTTATAAGCGAAAGATTTGCGAAAGGAAGACAAGATGACCAGGGAGGAACGAAAACCAAAAACGACAAGTTGCAAATGCGCACGTTATTTAAACTTCCCTCTGCATTTTTCTCACTGAGGATGAGTTATGTCATGAAGTAAGGGCCCGTTCATATATTACGTCAACAAGAGAGGGGGGGAGGGGGTCTGACCACCAATGATATCGTGCCTATCTTGCCCATGTTAAAGGGGGTAGGGGAGGTCTGAAAATCCGATTTTTTTGATGACGTAATATATGAACGGGCCCTAACGTCCTATACAGTGTATTTATTAATTCTTCGGTTTTAAACTTCCACCATTTTGGTAGCACATTTTTATGGACCGGTATAATTTTAATTACAAGAAACTTAAATACAGATACACTTAAATCAATTTCATAGATTTAGTTAGGTTAGTGTAATTATGTTGTAAAATTATATTCGAGTACTTGTCAGACATGCTTCTCACGGATCTTCTTAAAACCAGCACTAAAAAATCATTGAACTGGAAAAAAACAACGACACTTGGGCACTTCTGCGAATTCACGGAATGGAGAAGGTTTTAAGTTGGCAAAAACTCGCATGTTCACCATGCGAAACTAATCCTAAGTATACGGAGTTCACCTCTCCGCGTCCCGATTTTCTCCTGAAGTTCTTCTCTTCGCCAGGTTAGCGGTTTTCAACTTCATGCAAAATTACATTTATTCATTTCCTAACCAAGTTCTTAACGGATTTTTCAACGATTTTCCGAACGATTTTTCATCGTTAGATTTTAAATATTTTTTAGCACATTTAAAATATTTAGATTCATTTAACTTCTTAAAGGAAAAATCCTTTACAAATTGGTTCAGAATAGTTGATTTTGTTGTGTCTCTATCACATTGCGTGTTATTATTCTTAAACCTAATTATTATATTCGTATGTGTGATAAGGACGAACATTACACAATGACATACTTTTTTGTCATGAAAGTCTTAGAAAAAACGCTGTGCGAAAGAAGAAAAAAATAGAATGCACTATTCTCAAACAGTTTTTATGAGCTTTTCACTGGTAAGAAGTTAATTGAATCTGAATCTAAATATTTTAAACATTATTTAAAAGTGCTAAAATTTTTTCAAATCCAACGATGAAAAATCGTTCGGAAAATCTATAAAAATCGTATGAAAATTTGGTTGGAAAATAGATAATTAAATACTTCTAGATGGTGAAAACCGATGACCTGGCGAAGAGAAGACCAGGAGCAAACGGAACGTGGAGAGGTGACCTCCGTATAGTTCTCGAATTCTACAGAAGTGCTCAAGTGTCATACCAACTGTAGTTTGTATTTAGTTCCTCAATACCTAGTAGACTTATGCTAGCTGTAAGTAGCTCTTAACGGCGAAACCACTGGAGATAATCAAGATCCGATAAGTGCATTGGATTCCCCGTACGATTTTACGTAAATACCACATGTCCGTTTTTAATTACTTGGAAAGCATATCAGCAGGGAACATCTTGAAAGGACACGGCCGGCGATAATTTTTGACAAAAAAATGCGAAGAAAAATAGTGAATATGAAAAATGTGATAGGAATCGAACGTGCACTTCAATTTTGTCTAACGCACAATAGAAACGTTCATGGGGACAGTATATACTAAAAACAGTCGAAGACCGATTTTTTGAAAACCTCCAAGGACCACACCCATCGTTAAGGGCTGAAGGCTATAATCCGAAAAAATTCTCGAAATTCCAACGGAAAATAGCCTTACAGCTGACATTGTAGACGCACATTATCCAACGAGCTCAAACTGAACCTTAGACTTAAGGCTTTGAAACGTAGCACTTACCGCATGCTGATTATCCCTCAAAAGAAAACAGGGTTAAAGAAATGCAGGGCTCTCTTTAAGCGGTACGCTAAAAAAGAGTAAAGAAAATTCTCGCTCCAGATGAGCAGATTTTAAATGTGAAGGATTTTTTAAACAAACAAAATGACTTCGTCTACGCAAAATAGGTCAAAGATATCCCTCAATATAGAAAGAAGGTCGAACGTTCCCATTATCCATGTTTTGTCACGATTTTTGCAGATGAGAGATGATTAGGGGTAATTTCTCCTCATTTTGTCGAAACGGGGGGAACGTGAAAGAAAAAAAATCTTTGAAATACGTTTTTGAGTCCGGGGTACATCCCATAAATGAGATCCAAGCCAATGCAGTCGACTGGACCTCGCTACAGGACTCAGTACCAGTGAATAGTGCAAAAAATGAGTGAAGGGTGGCTAAAAAACCAAATTCCGAACATTATCTCCGCTCGGGAATTGTCATGCTCCTTGTTGGATTTGAATCTCTGAACTGTGAAAAACGGTCAAAATTAGGGACAAAGGTGTGTTCTAAACCTCACAGAAGTCTGAAAGCTTTAAAAAACTCTTTGACCACGAAATGGAACAATTTGTCCACCGATTCCGGGCGTGCTGCAATCGAGGGCTGTAGGCCGCGTCTTCAGCTCTGCATCAATGTTGGGGGAGGAAATTTCGGAAACCAAAAATTGTTTTCTACTTAAAAATTAACTGGCTTTCCATTAAAATTTACTAGAAATCTGTAACACAAAAACTGCTGAAGCTACAGCGCTTCATTTCACTTACAGTTACCGAGGGCCACCCTGTATATTGATTTTTAGATACTATAAATCTTCGTTTTTAAAAAACAGTCGGAGATGACAGATTTCAAAATCACCATTTGAATACACAGAAAAGGCCCAGGTTGAGAGACAATAATTTAAGTTATAGGCCTGCATATGTAAATAGCGCGTTAGATATATGTACACATCGCCGAAAAGGTCCACCTCGTAAAGTTAAAAGCCCTATTTAAATGTATGATATTTTTCAAAAAAGTGCCCACCCTGGAAAAAATCCGTGGCTGCGCCTATGCGAGTACTGTCCCTTGGTGTCCAGGGCTGAAAATCAGTACCAGTACGTGTGCTGACGCTCGTTCGACACCATTAATAAAAATTTCAATTAATACCTGTGTGACTTTACCAGAGTTCTAACTGTGCAAGTTCTTTAAGGTTTACCACATAGACTGAGCTAAGCTCAGTCTAAAGCTCAGTGAGCTTTAGACGTGGAATGATTCATATTTATGAAAGTAGCCATTTAAAAATTACGTAAGGCAAAACTCGTATTTTTTCGATCCCCGCATCTCGACGCTTGTTGACTAACCTTCATGTAACGCAGCCCAAAAACGATTTGATCGACATTTTTTAGAACACATTAAAAAAACGTTAACGGATACCTGAAGATGTTCATGAGCACTTATCTATTATGTATTTGAAAACATTTTAAAATATAAATACCACAAATATAGGTATACATACATATTATTTAATGATCACGTTAAAAATACAAATATGTTAGTATCGTATACAAAATCTATTCTATGCCGGTCGTGACTGGTAGAGTTTGTTGAAGAAATTAATAAATCTAACAGAGTAGGAAATACGTAACAAAGAATGATTACAATCATTTGCAAATGAAGAGAGTTTTTGAAACATGTAGGTATAATTAATTGCATATAATTTAAATAGCGAGAACGACACGAATTACGATACCCAAGATTAATCATGAGCTACTTCGATGCTGATTGGAGCATTTCTGGCTTCAAAGATGGCTTGCATCTCTTGAATAAATTCGGGATCCGCCCCCCACAAAAATGAGTCTTGCCGCATTTTGACCATCTGAAATCCGCCGCTGTACCGAATAAAATCATCGACATGGGCAGTAAAGTCAGCCTTGTTCGGATGGAAGCAAAATTTAGCTGTTTTAACGCCTGTAATAAAAATATGGATTTTTCCTGTAATTTATGTACCTAGCTTATTTACACCTGTTGACATACATACATGTTTACAGCGTACTCACGACAACGGCTTATTTCGCATCGAAGCTCATTTACGAAAATTGTGAAGACAGAAGGATTCGCAAAATATGACTTCGCAACTAAGTGTATTTCATAGTTATCAATGTTTATGTTTATAAAAGTTTACTTTTTTTATAACTTCGCAAGTCTGCTAAAAATTCTATTTTGATGTTGTTTCAATGAATTTCTGCAATTTATCATGCCTGTTGCGCATGAGTTTGCGAAATAATTTTAGGAAATAAGAATCCCACGGATTTCCAGCAAAAGGTTTGCGAAATCTCGTAAGACTTCGCAAGTTATGCTATGCTCAATTTGCGAGATATTGCGAAGTGAGTACGCTCATATTTACAGAATTTGCTAAAATTCCTACCGTTCCAGGTCGCCATGCTCCTAAGTGCCGCCAAAATGGTCTGACCCGGAGGGTCGATTACTCGTACGAATGAGAGGTTCGCCTTCTCGAAATTCCAGCCTTTGAAGGGTTCCATGAACTTGGTGAATTGCTCAATCTGAACCAGGCCGACATACCAGGCAGTAAAATCGAATCGTTTCACATTTGGGAAAACTTGGACCAACGTTTCTGAAAATTTTTCATATTCGCAAGGGAACTGTATTGTCACGGCTACAGACTGAATTCTTGGTGTCGTCGCCACGAATTTTGTTGAACGAGTGACAACCCGGGTACTTGAAAGGATTTGTCCAGCGTGAGATGTTTGAGGTTTGGGAGGTGGGTTTCGTCCAAGCAATTTTGAATTTGATAAATATCTGCGGCAAAGAGGGTCACCACATTTGGCATGACGGGAAGGTCAAGCATCTGTAATAACGAAATGATCATCACCAATCAGCCCAATTATTTAAAGACTTAATTGTTCTTTAAAGGTACACCTAGTACTCGGCGTGTGTTTTCATTAATACTCTTCGGTCGAATGTTTTCTCATTTTTTTTATTGTATTTTGTAACACATCATTTACAAAAATTGACAACTACCCGAGTTTTGAATTAAAAATCTCAAAGGAACCAGCCTGCAAGGATATTTTGCCATATTATTATGAATTACTCGGAGGCCGAGTTTCATTCGGTACTCGGCAAGAGAACATTCTCGGTTTAACTATTTATCGTTAGTCACATGACGCAGTCGAGTTTTTTCCTTTCGGTGTAGGTCTACCCCTTATTAATTATGTTTACCTCATTATGCTGATTGACTTCTTCTACTCTAAATTAAGTTCAAAAAGTAAAGAAATAAGCGATTTTTTCGTTTAAAGTATTTACCTACCTTTTTAGTTCGAAGTAGATAAGTCAAAGATTTGCAAATGGAGATCAAAAATATGGAAGGAACGAAAAGAAGACAAATTGCAAATCCGCAGGTCACACGTTATTTAAACTTCGCTCCGGTCTCCATTGTTCTCACTGGGCATATGTATATGAATAATGAATGAATGTGAATATCGAATTACATGTAAATTCATTTACTTGCCTAAAGAAATCATAATATTTTGTGGTAGGCTTGCCCTAACGTTTGTGGTGCAATTGGTGCAAATTGTCACAATTCTTTTTTTTAATCGACAGGCAATTATCAACTCTTTGGTAAAATTAAGACTTAAGTTTTGTAAGGGAGAGAGTATTATTATTATTTTATTTTATGGAAAAGTTGTTTTTGGGGTAAAGTGAGTTGCCATGAGAATGCTCTTGGCTCGCAGCGTAAAACTGCGAGCTCGAGCAAAAATCAGCCAGTTCGTGGTTGGATTCGGTCGAGAGAGGACCTGCGGATTCGAGCTGCTGCCGTGCTGAAGAAGAGATTCCAGCGACAACAGCAGCAGAAATTATTAGGAAGAAAAGGTCAAAGGGTATGTTTTAGGGCACTGCAGAGGCATCTTTGCAGGTAATGTGCTGATAGAGGCATCTCTCCAGCACCTCAAAGTTTCTTATTTGGTCACGAGAAGTGACAATTGTATGTATTTGGTCAAGTTAGTTATTTTTCTCTCTCCCTCCAAGTTATTGAAGTCTGGTGGGAATAAATTGTGGGGCTTTTGTCAATTGTAAATCTATGTCGTGGTGTCATATTTATTATAGTGTAAAGAGTTGTGGGTGATTATCTCATCATAATTTAGCAGTAAGAACCTGGGAATTGCATTGGATATGCAAATTGTGTCGTAATTAAGGTCGGGAAGGCTTAATTCGTCACAGTTTGTGGGTTATTTCACTTCCACAGCATCGCATGCAAAATCATGGAACATTTTTAAATTTATGCTAAAGAGTAGAGAGCAACAAGTTGAAACACTATCTGACCCTTGTTACCCAACTTACGACCCCTGTGTCGACGTGTTCTCCGTCCTCTTCCGCGACTCACAACCACTTTCCCCTGAAGATGATGATGACCGTGATGATGATGGTGATCGTGATGATGATGGTGACCGTGATGGATGACTGGATGCCAATATGAAACCAAGGGAGTGGATTTGAAGTAAATCCGGAGGAGGAGAGCCAGATATGTTTGTCCAGGAGCGTTTATTCACACACTGACTCGAATATGCCAAATACATTACAATTTATGTGGCGAGCACTCCGTGTCCATGGGATGCGGGGCTCTGCTCGTAACTCTATAATCTACTCGAAGATGGTGCGGGTGCTCCCGTCACAAAGTTAAACTAGATGTGATTCCACAGCAATGGTAACAAATTTATTAGCGAGTAAATTTAACTTTTACGGAAGTGTTCCCAAAAGATATGGGTATTCTCTGGTAAAGTACCTTACTCAAGGTTTCCATGCTTAACTTGCGCCATAATTAGGATTAGAATTTAATTTAGATCTAATTTCTAATTTAAATTTACTTTAAGTCATAGTCATACATAATTTATGGGAAGAATGAGAGTAAATGTGTATTTACCGTTACATGTACATACATATTTAGATATATGAATATGTATAATTGTGCATATTTATATGTGCTTACATGCACATATGGACCTCCCGAATTTGTTGGAGTACAGAGTTTCTTCACAGAATGCTTTGTTATCATTTTACATAAATGGTTACTAATGCGACATCAAGCTAAATATTTTATCTTATTTTTATAAGTTTAATTAGTCATGATTATTTTATTAATAACAGGATCCAAGAATTCCATACTCTATAATTTGTTAATAGTAAATATGGTAAATATAGTGCAAAATTCAAATGTATCTACCGTAATTAGTTACATTTATAACACTACGTATTGATGATCTGATCCTGAGACAAGAAAACTTGAATGAGACGCATTTTCCAGTAATTTAATTAAATCAATCCTTAGTACATGCATATGCAAATCTGCAAAGATGCAAAATCTGAACAGTTCATCATTTAAAAAATTGTACACGTCTAAAATATTTCTGAAAACTTTGTAGAATTAATATTTGCAAATTCGCTCCCGTATGTAAATACTTTACCATTACTTCGCAGACTTTTTACAGGAAGCCACGTGTCCCTCGAACTCCACACGTGCTACCGATTCATAACAAATTAGACAAACCCGCTTCTCACACTGGACATAATGTTCCGCTAAATGTTCTTCTTGCATGAAAGATTGTTGACAGAACGAATTTGGACATTTATGCGGAAAATCCTTGGCGGTAATGGTGAAGCCGGTGGAGTCCTGGTTCTTGGGTTTGTACGTGTTCTTCCGGTACTTCTTTCTAATCTCGCAGATATTTGAGCGAATATGACTGTGGGGGAATTAAACATTTGGTAAAATTTAAAAAATTGTAACTGGAAATGGCGCATATCACACTCTTAAAAATGATGCCACCCTTTTGAAAAGTAAAGGCATTCTGAATTTGATGTGGAGTAAACTATACTTAATCCAACGCAAACCTTATTTTTACTCAAATTACCCTGGATTTAGTATAGTTAACTTAATATCGAGTTCAGATTGCTGTTACTGTTGTAAAAGGGGCCGTTCAAAAATTATATACCTAGAAAATCGCGATATTTAGACCCCCATCTCCCCTTTAACATGTATGACATAGCCCCTGAACCCCCTCCCCTCCGTTTCGCATTACATAATTTATAATTTATGAACAGCCGTAAAGGATCATGTAATTTTTTGTATGGAAAATCCTTACCGTTGAAGAAACGCTTGTGACCTGAACATTTCATTGCAACGGGTACATGGACGAGGAGGTTTTTTAATTTGTCCGACAATTTTGAACTTTTTGTTGGTAAGGCAGCCAAGCGGAGGTGATTTGGTTTGCGGTCTTTTAGCGGATTTTGGTCTTTGCTGGTACACATCGTGGGAGAAGCGTTGAGGCGTTTTATTTTCGGAGCGTAACCTTCTAGATTGGCGTACCGGCTCGGTATTACCTGCTAAATCAGGAGTCGAGTAAAAATTCATATGCATGTTTTTCTTATGAATTAGTGGATTTTTACTGATTTATTTTTGGTTTATTACCAGTTTGTACTTCGTGTTTCTCAGTGTTGAGCGAGCTTGCAGAAATATCACCACTTGAGGCGACATTTTTTTCAGAGTTCAAGCCATCGTCGCCGACCTGATGCACTTTTAATTTCTTGAAGTGTTCCAGTGACGAGGATACGTCGACTATTGAAGCCATTTGGACGGATGATGGGTGACCTTTTAAAAAAGTGACGTTAAGGTCTCATATTTAGAATGACAAGTTAAATCTAAGGGATAGATTTTGAATCTCAATCTACCCCTAAGCTATTTCTTTAAATGCAAATTTCTAGAATTATATCAATTTTATGAGTCACTAACTTTCATGCAACTTCTGATGATTTAATATCTAGTTCATTTTTTGTACTGCAAAACCTTGAACTTTTGAAATTTTCGAAATAACGTGAAAAATGGCAACTAAATAAAATAATTTTCTAAAATTTAAGCTTTTTTAGTACCTAAATTTTACTTTGCATAACTGTATCAAAATTTGCGTTTATCTCAAAAGACATGAAACGCTTAGAAATTCATTAAACAGGGGTAGAGTGAGATTAAAAAGTTATGGAGTAATGCCACTTCAAGTTAATTAAAGTACTAAAATTTGGTTGGATCAAACATCGTATAATTAATTAAATATGTAAATACCTCGATCACTTGTCCCATCTTCGCCTCCTCCCATGGAATCCGTCACTTTTTTAACAATTTCATTAATCTGTCGAATAACCGATATCATTTCCTTATGCAGATGCCAGACTTCGTCCATCGCATCGTTGCACGTGCCACAAGTCGTGTCACTCTCGACGTTGTACTTATTCAAAGTGAAACTGTTGTCCGAGTTGACCACCAACAGTTTTAGAAGTTCGGCCTGCTCCTTTCGTAACTCTTGCTTTTTCTGTGGATTTTTCGGTTTTCGGTGTTTCGCACACAAAGCAGTTTTTCAATACGGGTTTTTCAGAGTAGATGGGTAACAATTCTTCAATTTTGGGGTCAATGATGAGTCGGACGACAGGATAAAGGGATGCCATGCTGCAAAGGAATTAAAGTTAAATTCCTAAATACACTCTTATAAATCCAGTATTAAAATAATACCAAGCAGTACTCATGCATATACGACTCTACCAAAGTGGTAAACATTGGTAATATAGTGTAGTAAATTACTACTGGGAATAGGTCGGTATTAAATTTTTACCATATCAGTAGCATATTTTTATCGACCGGTATAATTTTACTAGCAAGCGGCAGCAACTTTAATACCAAGAAATGAATACATATTTACCTACACGACTAGGGGTCGTTCATAAATTATGCAACGTAAGAGAGGGAAGTCTACACATGGCTCCAATGATATTTATGTGACATACACATGCTAAACGGAGTAAGTGACCTAGAAAATCGCGATGGTTTTTGCAAATTTATGAACGGTCCCCCATACCAGATTTCTAACAGTGCACCTGTTCAATTATTAAGGGCGATACAATCCATGTATTTACATATTTAGCATATATGTACATAGATATTTGCTAGTGTTGTCAGTTTGATAATTTTGGTTATCGCATCAATTTTGATACGACGACATAAGGTTATAAATTAAATAGTTTTGAGGATAAACTTACCTGATTTCGGTTTTGTCGTGAAGTTACAAAATATGCTAAATTTATTTCGAATAATAATTCCCAACCAGGCACTTGGAATTTAGTAAATACGTGACTTTAATTGAGACAGGTTTCCCCAGGTTACACTGCGACTACTTCCCATGAGCGACTTGGATGATATGCACGTGACAACAAACTGACGCTGAAGGTTTACACAAAATGTGACACGATACCTATTTTTATGTAGGGAATGTCATATATTACGGTGTCAAAAAGGTGGGTGGCTAGGTTTTGGTAGCCCATCTCACTCCTGTTGAGCTTAACATGAGTGGATGGGTACGTGAGCCTCACGACGTGAGGGATGGGTAGATGGTCTAAAAATCGGCTATTTTTGATAACCCGATATAAATATGCAGACGTCGGATATGAATGACCGATAAAACCTCAAAATATGAATGAAAAATGACCGTAAAAATCCGCCAAATATGACTATAAAAATGACTTTATTTTTTAAATTTTTGGCTTAATTTGTTGATATATTTTCTTGTAATGCTCAATTTTGATCAATTAAACAAGTTCTGGGGTGATTTAATTCATTCGCAATGAATTAAATCACCTTATGCGAAAGTGAACGTAAATTTCTGAAGTTTCTCACAATGACTCATTTTGAGAAAACTGAATTTTTTGTTATTTTCTGTCGATTTGGTTGCCAAATCTTAGAATTTGGCCAAAGATGATAAAATGAACGAAAAAACCCCGAAATATGATCGGGAATATGAATATGTCCCAAAACCCGAAAATATGACTAATATGAGAAAATATGCTTTGACCTACGTGACCTACTAGTGACCATAAACATTCTCAGAAAGTTTGGCGACTGTAGGTCAATAAATGGAAAAAGTCATTTTTCATTCATATCCGACGTATGTAAATATGTACGTTCCCATACACTTCTCCCCACTCTGATTCCTGGAAACAAGGTCCAGTCTTGGATCACGTATGCATATTTATTAAGGGTCCAGTAGACTTTTAAGAGGTGTATTTTTACCAATAACCTTTTTATCCTTTTTTAACCCTTTTTAAACCCTGAGAACTTGACTTAAATATTTATATTTTCTACTCTTAGGACTAACAAGTCCATTCTAAAGTTAATCCGTATTTGAGTACAAGTATGTACTTGGAATGTTATATTTAATTAACAGTTTGGAGCCTTACTGTACTTATATCGGATTCTCCTCTTCAAACTGGTCACACAGCTACACAGAGGCGTTCCTTGGATTGGGACGGCCTGGAGCACATATTGAGTCCGGCCTTTTCAAAAATGGTGTAAAATATCTAGTCATTAAGACATTGTATGTGTCTTGCTTCAAAGTGTGTCGTAAAATTAAGTGCCATCTAGCCATCCTTAGATATCCATATTTCAAACCGCGCAGTAAATTTGACATGACAAAAATGTTTGAAAATTTGAATTTTGGCAAATTTGAATTTCCTTAGCAATGATTGTAATTACACTTTGTAACGCAGCTCATTAAGTCAGAATTTGTTGTGATAATTCCGCTGTCTGGGCCCCTTAGGATCAGTACTGGAACCTTAAAAACGGTACCGAGGGAGATCCATAGTTTAACGTTCAGCCCTAAACGGATATGTTGGGGTTGCTTATAAAAGATTTTTTCACGTTTCTCGTCTGTCTCGTCGTGTATACATCGTGTATACGTCGTCTCGTCGTGTATTGGTCTTCCGGCGGGCAGGTTGACCAGGAGAAATTTTATATTTTGAATTTTTACGATCCTAAGATATGCTTTGTGTACGACTAATTTTGTCCGGGGCAAGCCGGACAAATGAAGTGGTCACGAGCCCTTTTCCGATTCGGGAAAAACACTTTTTTGACCGAGTAGCAAACTAATTCTCCCACTTCCTCTAATTTTTGTGCTGTCATTTTTTAACAAAACGAGATAATCAAATTCTGTGTTCAGTTTTAGAAAGCTTATCAAATTTACGACTTTTGATGCCTTTTTACATATCCAAAATTATTTTCTCAGTGGTTGCAAAAATAAGGGGAACCTTAGCACTTTCTTTCACAGGACGATCCATTATCAAAGAATGCAAAATTAAAATTAAAATTAAATGAAAAGTTAAGGGCTCGGGGGAAGATTTGCTTTTTGAAAATTGATTTTATGTTAGCAACAATAATTTCCAGGGATCCAAGATTATTTATCACTCCATAAGGTTACGACCACGATTAATTGGCACGTTCACGTTCAGAAACTTTGGTTTAGTCACTTTGTCTTTAAGTTTTTGAAAAACGTTTTTTCCTTTTGTTCCATGGATACTCAAAATACAATTCATGCCATCAATTTTGCAATTCTAAGCCAATTTGTGCTGACTTTATGACCAAATATCTCCACTGCACAAGAGGGCAGATCGTCAAAAAAACTTGGGTAAAATTCAAAGATATGATTAACACATTAAATATAATTTAAAAAATCTGTCCTCTTGTGCATTGCTGAATTTTATCGTCAAAGTTGACGTGATTTCTAAGCAACTTCCCCCAGGCCCTTCATAAGGGATTACAGCACAACTAATTCTTATCTCAACAATTCGAAAAAGAAATCATTAGTTCTAAAAAAATTTACTTTACTAAAAACCGAAAATTGGAAAATTGGGGTTTTTTAAAACCTGTTTCTCGGGAAATTCTGAAACCGATTTTTCCCAAAACCGGCTTTTGGAAAATTATAAAACTAGTTTTCCATTAAATTGAAATCCGATGTTTAACATCTTCTAGGAAATTGGAAAAACCAATTTTGGATGCCCTACTTATAAACCCCTCGAGACTCATTTGCTACTAACGGAGTTCAATCTTCTATCTCATTTCTTAAAATCAAATGTTACATAAGATTATGAACTAGTGGAGGTACTTCTGAAATTGTAATCCTATATTTTGCATGACGCATAACAAGGTTGTCATTAGCTAAAGGTCTATCCCAGTAAGTGCAGATTCGGGTTTAAAATTGTTAAATTGTTGACTAGGAACATCCGGCCTCGTAAATGAAGCACGTCTACCATACACTTTTCCACACTTAATATGCATTTATCTTGTGGCGTGTGATAGGCAATTATATCTAGTGTATAGGGCGTGCCGGTACGGCCTGTCGGGCCGTACGGCCTGGAGCCAGCGCTCCACCTAGAAGCATCGTCGGTACGGGCCTGCAGCTACGTACATATATATGTCGTGTCCCAGGAAGAACAGATATCGTATTAACTCTGGGTTTTCTATGGGAGGCCTGTAAATAGGCTGGGAATTTATTTTAGTGGGTTAGCTACAAGATAAAATCCCGATATAATTTTGGGGAACCGCGTGATGGGATTTAGATGACATTTTACTGAGATAAACCAATAAGATTTCCCTAACATTTTACGTCATATATTACGCCCTTATTATTTTTGGGAAAATCACTCAGTTTTACAGAACAAAGGAAAAGCTCAATAATACTTCTGGGTAGACCCACTCCCTGGTTTGCTTTGCTATAAATTCGGTGGGTTTAGTCCGGGCTTGCCCAAGCGTCCATTCATATTTTTATGTGGGGTTATTACTGGGAAACGCTTGCATATCCCGGAGTTTAATCCGAGGTGGACACTTTTCAGCGCAAATTCTTTTTGCCTCAATTCATCGTCACTATCGTCAGTATCATATTTGGTGCCGTTCGACATACATTCAGTCCTGTCCACAGTGTTAAATGTTTTCTGTAATAAAATTTCCTGGTGAAAAGTGTGTGCAATTTCTTCTCTGTGTTGGATAAACCCGAATAAAAAAAGTTGCAAGTGGCCAACTGGGTCTTCTACAAAGATAAGCAATTTAAAGAGAGGAAGCTAGCACTTTTGGAGTGGAAAGAATTTGTCCACAAACACGTGGTAAGTATATTTCCTTGTTCATTTTTTGTGTTTCCAATTTTAACTAATTTACTGAATAAAATAATAATATTTCATGAAATTTTGTTTATTACATATTCCGTCCGAGGAAATTGGAGCAAAGTGCAGTTGACGACTCGTGCTAAATTCGACAGATACTGAGGGAAGTAAAAAAAAGTAAACCAAGGAAAACTAAAAACTTAAAAGAAAAAACCCCTTCCAAAATGTGTCTAATATATCTCTCCTGTGTCCCTATGTTAAGCAGGACCCCTTAATTTACAATTTATTGTTAATTAATCTAGGCTTTAATAATTAATAACATCTAATTTTGTAACTTTTTTGGCAAATAAATAAAATGTTAATTGAAATGTGGAGTACAAGATACTGGGAAAAAGACATTTTATTGGAATAAAAGTACTGGGAAAAGCATGGGAAATCTCCGTAAATGCACAGGGACAACCCCTCGGTAATATTGTCATAAAATGGTGGGGAAATATCTGGGTATTAGGGCATGTAATATCGATATCGACATCGATATTTCGATATTTCGATATTTCGATATTTGAATATCGAAATATCGATATTTCGCTATCGAAATATCGAAATACGAATCTTGCAATTTATGAATTACTTTAATTAATTTTATCTTTTCGCGAGTGCCAAGAATTCAATTTGGGAATTTAGGAACTTTGGGGGTGTAACCAATTCAAAATTCAATTTGGGAACTTTGGGGGTGTAACCAATTCAAAATTCAATTTGGGAACTTTGGGGGTGTAACCTATTCAAAATTCAATTTTCGAAACTTTGGGGGTGTAACCAATTCAAAATTCAATTTTCGAAACTTTGGGGGTGTAACCAATTCAAAATTCAATTTGGGAACTTTGGGGGGATAACCAAGTCAAATTTCAATTTTGGGAACTTACGGGGTGTAACCAAGCTAAATTTCAATTTTGGGAACTTTGGGAGTGTAACAAAGTCAAATTTCAATTTTGGGAACTTTGGGGGTGGAACCAAGCTAAATTTCAATTTTGGGAACTTTGGGGGTGTAACCAATTCAAATTTCAATGTTAGAAACTTAAGGGGTTTAACCATGACAAATTTCAATTTTGCAAAAATTTGGGGTGTTGAATCAAGTCAAAATTCAATTTTCGAAAATTTTGGGGTGTTACCAACTCAAAATTATTTTTTGGAAACTTGGGGGGTAGGGTGTAACCAAGGCAAAAGTAAATTTTGAGAACTTGTGGGGTGTTACGAGGTAAAAATTCAATTATTGGAACTTTGGGGTGTATTTTATTTACTAAGTAAAAATTCGATATTACAATATCGAAATTTCGATATTTCGATACCGAAAATTCGATATTGGAATATCGAAATATCGATATTTCGAGATCTCGAAATCTCGAGATTACATGCCCTACTGGGTATAAATTTTGTAAAACTTATGGGAAACGAGTGGGGTAAGCACGGGACAAAACTCGGGGTTGGGCGGCCAAAACCATGCATGTTTTACTGAAAATAACCCCAAGATAAAACTGAGATATCCCATAATCTGTTCTTCCTGGGGTATAGCCCAAAATCATTGTGAAATTGTCGGTTACATTTATTTACAGGTTCGGAAATATAGCATTTGAATGTAAGTAAGTACAGTGTCGGACAGATGTCTACGTCCACATAGTCGCGTCAATTTCATTTTCAAATTGTCACTGAACTACTGAACCAATTTTCATCATTGATATATCAAATTCTCACAAATTTAACGTAATTTCATAAAACATATGAGTTATTTCTGAAAATTCTGGGAAAACTGAGAATCATAGTGCAGAGCGAGAGAGGATGAAATTTGAGCGGACAAAAGTCTACGTCCACTTCACTTTAATTGTTAACAACAAAAATCTCTCCAATTTATAAAATCAGGTAACTTAATAAATCTATCAATAACATATGCCGCATTAATTTTTAAATAATTTTCTTCCAGAAAAATATGATGGCGTCGACACGCAAGGAAATTCCTATCGCTATTCGAGATCTTGTCATTCAGGACTGGAAGGGTGGACAAAAAGGGGGCTGTCGCAGAGACAAATATGGACCAAGTATAAATTAGCAAGGACAACCATCCAGACAATCATTAAGAACTTTAAAGCTAATGGTTCAGTCCAAAACAAGGTCAGAAGTGGTCGAAAACCCATTTTGGCTCACCGAGAAGTACGCCACGTGCTCAACAAAGTCAACGTTACACCCTCACTTAGTGCTCCAAAGCTATCTACCGAGATCAAGGAGATGTTCGGCAAACAGGTTAGTCCTATGACCATCCAAAGAACACTGAATAAGGGAAATTTGAAATCCCACAGAGCAGTCCGGAAGCCTCTTATTGTACCGAGGAATGCAACCAAACGAGTGAAGTTTGCCAGAGACCACATTTCCAAGCCACAAACATTCTGGGAAATATTTTATGGACTGACGAGTCAAAGTTCAATGTCTTTGGGTCAGATGGGCGTCGTAGAGTGTGGAGATATCCAAAAGAAGCTTTGAATCCAAAAAATCTCAACCCCACAGTTAAGCACGGCGGCGGGTCGGTAATGGTGTGGGGATGCATGGCTTCAAGTGGGGCAGGAAAAATGGAATTTATTGACGGAATTATGGACCAATACAAGTACCAGGGAATACTTGACCGTAATATCCAGGAATCTGTTCGAAAACTTGGACTTGGACGACGATTTGCCTTCCAACAAGACAACGATCCGAAACACTCTGCCAAGTCCACCATGGAATACTTCAAGAAAAAAAAATTCCGAAGCTAGAATGGCCTCCCCAATCTCCAGACTTGAATCCCATTGAGCATCTGTGCGACCACATTGAAAGAGAAATAAGAAAACAATCTTTTTCAGGAATTCCGGGCCTTAAATCCAGAATTCGTGAAGTTTGGGAAACCATTTCTGAAGATGTGACCAAGAATTTGGTAAACTCAATGACTCGACGCCTTCAAGCCGTCCTTAAAGCGAACGGAGGCCCAACCAAATATTAAAAATTAATTGTTATAACATTCCTTATAAATTACAGTTTTTTTTGTATGTTTTCTCTGACTGGACGTTGACTTTTGTCCATCCAATTGTTTTCATTTTGAATTAAAATACATCTCTGGCCTAAAATAAATTTTTTAGCGGAAAACTAATAATGTGCTATGAAATTACGTTAAATTTGTGAGAATTTGATATATCAATGATGAAAATTGGTTCAGTAGTTCAGTGACAATTTGAAAATGAAATTGACGCGACTATGTGGACGTAGACATCTGTCCGACACTGTATCTATGAATTGGGTCATCACTTTGTGTGTATAATTCCTCTTTCTGTTAGAGGATATGCATATGTAAATATTTGAAGCAAATTCTTAATACCGAGTAAAGTAGCATACTTGCTTGCAGTCCATATGGTATAAATTTCAATCGATCATTAATTGATTTGTTGAATATGATAAACTGTACTGATAAATACGTATGCATGAGTCCTGAGAGTGTCTACCGATTGTGTCCGTTATCACAAGCAGTTTTACTACATAATCGAATCGCGTCCCAATTCAACAAAAATGTCCATATGGCTAAAAAAATACTTATATTGCAGAAACTTAGCCAGGGATAAAGACACGCCATAAATTATGGAACTTTTAACTAGTTCTCCGGTATAATTACAAAGTTTTCAGCATACAAGTAACTTGGAATGGAGGTCTCCCAGCGTATGCTCTCAGATTTTGGACAAATTATTGTCAATCGATCAAAAATTTAATTAGGATGAAATTTTCAAATGGCATTATCTGCAATGTTCATGTTCATGCGGAGATATTTGCAAAAAAGGAGGATAAAACAGGTCCCAAGGTTGACAAATTTTACTCTTTCCAAATTTACTGCACATTTTCTCTTCTTCGATAGTGCCATTTGCAAATTTTATACTAATTAATTTTGAGATCGATTGACACTAGTTTGGTCTAAATCTGCGAGCATAAGTTGGGAGACCTCCATCGTTAGTATGGTTATTCCTGAATTGAACATGTCTCATTACAAACATGCCATTGTATTTCAGCCCCTTGACCAAATAGGGTTATTTATACTGAAATATCTTGACATCACGTCTCTCTTATCTTTACGCCAAGTAAACAAGCATTGGAACGATGTCGTCCTCCAGTATCTAACACAGCGACAGCAAATCGGTCCTAACGACAATAAGTTTAAGACTGTCATGAGTTACGATGACGTTCCAACAATTCGGAAAATTCTCGATTTACTCGAATTCGCCACTTCACCATGGATGGCAAATTATGGCATGCATTTAAAGCCTCTCCAATTAAATGGGAGGTACCCTCCAAATATTTCAAAAGTACCCTTCATGGATACCTGCCTCTTAAAGTTATTTTTGAATTAGGATTTTGGTGGCATAATGTACATATCTACAAGCCATAATTTTAACATTTTATATAAAAAGTGTATCATTTATATACAATTAAAGTTAAGGCTTCCATAAAAGCATGTATTTTTAAAAACCACATGTTAATCAAAGCTGTTGTGGACTTAACAGGTCCTCCACGTTTCCGCTTGGTACAGGTTTTGGGTTCAGGACAAAATCGAAAAATGCTTTTTTATTTAATTGCCAGACGAAGTTCATCTTTGTAAATACAAATATTCAGTACCAGTTCTTAAAAAAACTGGTACACGTACATGTCGATTTTTCTCATCAGCACAGTAAACTCGAACTATAGGGCTGCGATTTCCAGAAATTGTCTTAAAAATGTGAAATTCGGCGCAGTGAAAAAAGCGATTAATACTTAATCGCTTCCGATGAAAGAATATGAAGTTACAAGTGAGCAAAGTGCAAACAGTGACCCTGTAGGGTGACCTATACCGTTTTTAAAAGTTATTATTTTCATCTTAAATTTAGCATGGAGGGTAAAAACCACTCATGGATAGCACATACAGCTTTGGAATTTAATCAAAAATGTGTTTTTTATACACTTAAATAGTTTTTCTTTTTACATATTTCAGCGATTTTTCCAAAAAATTATATTCTTTTAGAAAAATCTCAGAACTTCGCAATACATAAATAATTCCGATCATTAATGTACCTAATATGAAACCAAAGCATGTGGAAAGCTTATTATTTGTCAGTGTGAAATATTAAAGCTATTTTTGACATTTTTTCAGTCAATCAAACTAATTCTTAAGCAATTTAAAACGAATTAAACGAAACGAAAAAAAAAGTTTTTCATAAATCATAGATCATAGATGTTTTAGGGATCTGATTAAACATTTTACATAAAGATTTAGGGTTTTTAAGAACATATTTAACCCTTTAACGTGTATGATTAATGACAAGAAAATGCATTAAATCGGGGACACTATAAGTATTTTGTGGTCATGGCGCGGGAGGAGAAATTCTGAAGTTTTTAATAAAACTCGAAAAACTGAAAAATCAAAAATTTAACATTGAGTTGTATAGGGAAATATCCAAATTTTCGGGGAGAAAATCTTCAAATTTAGCATTGTGTTGGCATAGGAGAAATCCCTCAAAATTGCAACAAATTTTAGGTCGCGGAGAGAAAATGGTGAAAATCAATGACCTCCTAGAAACGACAATTGTCGTCCTTCCGCGCCATGACCACGATTTTTCAGGACGACTTTTGTCGTACTCCCGAATTAAACCATTTCTTATAAAACGACTATTGTCGTCGTTACAGTTTAAAGGATTAATCGGACTCTGGTAGTAAGACCCATCACTGATAAGAAATTTAAACAGATTTATGATATGCAAAATTAGAGGCTACTTCCATTTAACGGGAGGGAAAATTTAGAGCATTAAGAGGTTGCTTTCCATTTAGGTAACTTCTTAAATATTCGGAGGGTAATTCCCATTGTTTTGGAGAGACATTAAATTACTTCCGCAAATTATATCCTTAAATCTATCCCAATTAATTTAGTCGTCCTAATGGATGATACTGTTCCAGACTTTCGAGAATTACTAGCGAAATATGGTGGAGCCGTTACTTGACAATACAAATAACGTTGCCATATTTAGAGAAGTCGGAAGATATCGGCCGCAAGGAAGAAAAAGGCCAATCTGCGGATTATGACATGATGTCAACTTTAAGAAGCATCTGTGAGGCTGTGAATCCGCATGAATCACGATTTACACAATCGATAAAATCTGCAACTGAAATTTTACCAATTCTCCTTCAATGGTGTCCAAACCTGGAGTTAGTTATCGCTGCAGAGCCGATGCTTCACGAACAATGTGCAGAATTCAAGTATTTTCAACCCCCAAAAACGCATGGATTAATCAAGACGCCAAAAGTTGAAAGAATGATGTTAAATCTTGCCCCTTCTAGTAGAATATGTATTAACTTTTTTTCAAAAATGATATCTGCATGCAAAGGGTTAATCTGGTTGGGTACTAGAGGCGACAGTGAATCACTCCAAATACTATGGAGAAGAATTCTTGCATCGTCAGCAACTGGTGAATGGACAAAAGTCGAGTCAATTTGGTTCCAGTGGGATGTCTTTCAAAAATTGGATATGAACCTATTGCGGAAGTCGTTTCCGAAGTAAGTTTAGATTTGATATGGACAGGATATTTTAGGATTATTATTTTATTATTACTCGAGTCAGGTAACGTATCCCAGGGTTAACAGTGAGGCGTTGGACTCCAACGCCTCACTGCTAACTCTTATGCGAACTAACGAGAAACCCCGTAAAAATGTTCTGTGGTCAGGGATACGTTACCTGACTCGAGTATTATTATTATTATTATTAAATTATTTTATTTTATTTTTATTTGTCTTTCAAATATTTCTAGCTTAAATAGATTTGACATTGACATCAACCTTAAAACTAATGATGGAACCACTCGTGCGGAAGGGATTCCAAAGATGAATACAATTTTACACATTTCAACCCTCCAATTAACATTCTCTGAAACGAAAAAAATATCGATTGAGTCGTTAAGAAAATCTATTTGCACTATGTGTTCTACATTCCCAAATTTGACTTTATTCGTGATCGTGGCTAATGTTTTGCCAAACAAAGTCAGATTAGTATCAAGGGACACGGATCGTTACTCAGGCAAGGCTGGTGGTACGGATGAGGAATTGAACAAGGAAACTTTGGACGAAGATGAACATTTTGCCTTGGTAGTTTTTAAACTTGTCCAGCCATATGAACACATTCTGTTCAGGTTTCTTAATTTCCAGGTAATTTTCGATATATAATTATTTTAGACCTGATTCACATGTAAGTTTTTTGTAGTTTCAAATGAAGCCTGAAATCAAGACGCTTATGACAACTCACGACATCAAGAACGTAGCGTTCCAGTAGAACGATTTAGATATGTTGGGATTTACATAAATATATGTGACGTTTTCTCCTTTTCGTAGATTACGAATTTTCATGGTCTTATAAATTCTATTTATGTATGTACTTCGTGACTACGGTTTCCCATATGTACATATATATAAAGGTGGCGTACCATTACCAACTTGGCCAACTTGTGTCAAATCAATTTGAATTTGATAATGGTATTCTGACAAGCATGGCCATGTAGTCATTCAAACTTTCAAGTACATATGTATGTATACCTATATACGAATATCTCTTTTAACCATGCATACCAGACTTATAATATAAATAAGGTTAAAACGTTTAACTTTTAAACAGACCGAATAAAATGGTTATCTTGGTCAGAATCTACAGTAACCTACATTTTCTTAGCTTAAAACGCCATATACACTTGCATATACATACATATGTACATAAATCTAATCTATCAACATTGCCTTTTCAAGAAACTTATATTATGTAATAATTAAAAAGATGTAAAGGTATATCATCATATTAAATAAATTGGTTGCAATTACCGTTATCAACTGTCATAATCATGATTATACTTCACCGTATTTATCCACGAAACGTAGTAATGTATTCTGGTGATGGTGTAACAAACAGTTCATATTAGAAATAAATAAATATGTGTTTATGCACAAACTCCCATTCAAGAAATGTGTTCATATATAACATTTATTCTGATCAGGCATGAATGTCCATGCATATGTATTAATCAGAGTTTTGAGCAATTATACATAATTTCTAATTTGGACATAAAGGTTTAAAAGGAAACTCGTAACTAACCTATAATAGATGGTTACCTTGTGAAATTTCATCAATTCTTCCTTCTAATTTTCCACACATCAGTGCCCTTTTTTGACCACTTTGTATTTATGCATTGATGTTGCCTATTCTAGGAAATTATTCGTAAATATCGTTATTTTAGGAGCCTGGACGTCCCATCCCATCGCTGTTTGATCTTTTTCATTAGTTAAATTTGTCGAAATTTGCTTATAAACGCATTTTCGACAAAATTGGACAAAGGCAAATTCTATGAGCGCAACTACCCCCGCAACTACTATGGCAATCCCCCATAAATAAAACAGGGTCTGAATACTGCCATACAGATCAATAATTTTCGCCTCATTTTCCCACCATGTCACGTTCAGCGCCCTCTCTGAAATACTTTCCGTCTCGCCACCCCCCAACCTGTGACCACTCAATCGTTCAAATTCCATTAGTTCGGCAAAGATTCCGAATTCTATCAAATTCTTAAATGCTTTAACAATTTTGTGAGTATGAAACGTTTCAAATCGCCATCCCACCATTCCCAAGGGGATGAAGGTCTTGCTCACGTGGAAAGGTCGCGCCCACGGATAGACCTTCCTTAAGTGGGCGTGATACGCTTTCCGTCTTCTTTAGATCCGGCAAACACGGATTTTCCACAGGACAGCAACTCCTCCTCAATCCCAGAGTAAATTTCGTTCATCGAGATGATAGAAGTACCAATTTTGTTGTCCAAATATGGCTTTAACCTTGCCGGGAAGGGGCGTTGGCTTGGGTCAATCAGTTCAGCCACGAGCGGAAGTGTACTTTGACCATAAAAGTCTATCATTCTTCCCAAATTAAGAGATTCGTAGAACGAGTAGCTTTGGATGTTTAAATAGTCGGCGAATGGTCTTTGTATCGGAGCAGATAGTATGGAGAAACAGGACGACTGCGAAATCTCTTAACCTCTAAGGGAACTAAAATATGCGGATTGGTCAAGCCCGATTGTGAAGTAAAAGTTCATCGGATAAAAGAAACGTCCTTGATATATGTAGTTAGAATCGTTGAATGCAATCGAATTTTTGCCAGTTTTGCATGAAATTTCCTGGAAAAATTGAAGAAATTTTGTTGTAATATGCTTAAGATTACATGGAATGACGATTCAATATAGGATAGTTCTTTAGTCTGACTCAACCCCTATTCAATAGGCTTACATAATGCTTTAAATATATAAAGTTTCTGAAATGACATCCGTTTCATGAGCTATAAGGCAACTTATGGATACTTTAATATAAACATAATTTTTGGTAATACACAATTATGGATTAAAAAATGGATAATTTCTCATTTTTCGAAATTAATTTCCTCAAATTGAATTCTAAAATTTCAGAAATTTGCGTTAAAAGACATTGCATACGGGCTGATTGAAAGTCTATTTATTTTGGATTTATGCCACCTTAATTACCTTAAATTCCTCCAAATATTGCACGGGTGGCGGTGCATTCAAACCCAGAATGACCAGTCCCTTGTACGAAGATATCAGCACTGTCGTCACCATCGCCCAGCATGCGAGTAGGATTCTTAGTTCCGAATAATTCGCTATTTTCCCTGAAAAAGCGTCGATTTGGTCGAACAGCATGCCCGTAACCCGAAACGTTACATCTCCCAATGTCGTCCACATTTTGCTCTTCTTCATCTTCCCTTCATCTCTTTTGACATATTTCCCAAGTGAAACAAAACACTTCGCGGTTACAGAAACGGACAAAATCGATACTGCCATAGCAATCCAGACGTATCCATCAAATGGCGTCGTGTACGTTAAGAAAGAAACTTTACTGTGGGAGTAACACGTCAAAAAGTGCAGATTTCGAGTCTCTACGACCACCGGAGTTGATTTCCAGACATATATCGCCCAGTTTGAGGGAAATTCGTTAAACGAAATGGTCGAAAAGTTGCATCCGAGATCATCTTTTTGTAAACAGGTTGTGCTTATATTCACTCCAACGGCCCGAGCCAAGAGGTGCAGGACGATGTATTTCTCCACGTTCGAAATCAAGCTAAGTCTTGCAATACCGTTAGCTATTTCACGAATACTTGTTTCCGGAAGGTTGATATCGAACCGGAAATGAGTTTGGGCCTGAATAAGCAAAAAACTAGAAAATGTATTATTTTCAAAATTTGTATAGCATTTCCAATTTTGGGCGATTGGTAACATCATTCGAGGCGAGTGAAGACACAAAGTAACGCTTCCTTCCCTATTATCGTTAAGAACTAGTTGACCGAAATTTGGGACAAGATAAGAACGATGGTCAACCCCCAGACAGCAATCAGTATAGATTCTCCCATTTTTAGCCTTATTTTCGCCCCATCGAGTTATATGAAGCGCGTAGAAATTGTCGGCTTCGCAGATTCCCTGTCTATGATAGCCTGGTGTTCCCCTTTTTTCGACATTGTCGAAATATTGGAGTACTAATAATCTCAGCCAGAGGCCGAGAGTATCTCTAGATGGGACCGGATTTGAATAGAAAATCATGAAATGGCAGAATTTAGCGTGGCGGCTATAATTCTGGAAGCGGCGCGGTCTTTTTGTCGCGAGAAGGAGCGACGTGTAGTCGTCGGGCCAAGTTAACTTTTGTGGAATCTGTGTGACCGTGAATGGATGAGGTGGAAGCAAAGAAAACTTGTGCAAATTGTGAGAATCAAAGTTCAAATTGTGGTATAGGAAGTGGATCACGCAGTTTGATGAGGATGCGATTTTGTGGAGATTGGGTTGTAAAAATGTGCCGAATGGCGAATTATTTTCACACTTTGACGACATTATTAATAACGAAGTAAGGATAAGATTTTGAAATCAGCTTCCATTTAATGTTTGCAAATATTTAGCGAGATCCTTGAACTCGACTAGGAATTGGGAAATGCAATTTTGAACTGACTAAAAACATTCACAGGAGTGTTTTGTAATATGTTTGCATACTGTGCATGCAGAGAAAGTGTATTTCGCAAGATATGTATGTATACGTATAAGTATAGATTTTGTGACCAGATATGAGACTGAGAGCAGTATTTATCTGTAAGTGTTACCGAAAATAGCTTGGGCTAGAGAGTATCAATGTTATGTAAATATGTATCAGATCAAATTAAGAGTAGCGGAAACTTTACCATCTTGGGCGTGAATATGTAATGGATTTAGGAATGTGTTTGTATGGATTAAATTTTTCGAACTTGTTTCAAGATGCATTTGTGGATACGGTGAAGTATAATCAATTGATTAGGACTCCTGATAAGGGTAATAATTACAACGAATTTATTAAATGCGATGATATAACCTTTGCATATACTTATGTAGGTATGTATGTACATATGCATATTGAAAAGGGTAATGTTGATTGATTAGATTTATGTAAGCTGAAAAATATAGGTTATTCTAGATTATGACCAAGGTCACAATTTTAACATGTGTACAAATGTACTTGTAATATTTGGTAGGTTTTTAGGTTAAAAGTTGTAACCCACATATTTAGATACTCATGACATGCACACGCGTACTTGAAAGTTTGAATGACAACTTGTCAGATGGTTTTTATGATGTTTTATGAAGTATTTTATTTTTCTTGACAGCCAAACTCTCGCATAAATCGTCCATATTCTCATACTTTAAAATCCATAAAAGATATCAGGAATTTTAACTGACATGACTCAGAAATTCTCCAAGGATACAATCAAAGGACCCTGCTATAACCTTTCCACCAACTTTCTCCGGACTTCCATAATCAAATCATGAATCATAAATAAATATTTAGTTCGAAACTTCAAAAATTCGGTGCAAAATTTAAATAATTCAATTTATTTAGTATATACTTTGCTTACAAAGTAATTAGCCAAAAATATCCACAATTATTATTAATTAATTATTACAATAAATTACACCACGGAATATTTCGTTCGCCAGTGGCCGCGGAAGCATGAGGACAATGTCCCCACAGTTATTCGACGTCCCTATCATCTGCCGATGTTATATAAACCCCTCCCCTACCCTACAATATTAAATTAATGTCCCCACAGCTTCCGCGGCCACTGCCAGTACTTATTTATCTCCACTAAATATACACCTCTTCACTTGACATCGTAGCCTCCGCGGCCGCGTCACTTCTCATGCCACGAATACTTCTTTTGATATTTTCCAATGATACTTTCCTCCCATTTTTTCTATGCGCGAATTCCAACTCTTGTTTAAACATTTTTGTAATTTGCGGCGGCGTGTCGGTCGTTGTTAGCGCGGCCGTGCGTATTTTATTCATCACTTTCTTTATCAAAATGACGCCCTCAGCACAGGGAGGGTGATTATGGGTGTTCATTTCGGTAATATATTTTGGATTTATGGGGTCATCCGTGGTATGGACGCGGACCATGCATCTCGCCCTGTTCGTTTTCCCGTGGGCCTGGTCGCAAGTCCACAGCGATTTTCCCAGCGTGGTCGAAGTACTTCGAAAGTTGTAGAGGAAGTTATTCACCGAAATCATAGGTCTGCCCCTGGCCGAGACGAGAGTTCCGACGGGGGGATAATCTTGCCCGGGTTGTGCTTGACGTGGGGTCGGTTTCGGTTTTCCTCCGTCGCTAAAAAAATAATTGAGGCATTAAAAATTTGGACATCAGGAATTTAGTTAAGGAACGGTCATAAAATGTGTCACGCAAAAATAGGGGACATATTGTTTCGATACCGTTTTTTCGCTACATATTTTAATTTTTGTTAATATTTCGATTTTATAAACAAAATAAGCCGAACATTTTAAAATAAGAATTACGATCTGAGGGCGCCTGCATTCCATATTTTATGAACGTTCCATCATTTATCTTAATTATGTACCTCTTCGATGTCGTGGCTTCATCCTCGTTCGGGTCATAATTTGGGTCGTTCAGGTCATCGTCACCACCATCGTCATCACCATCATTATCTTCATTCTCATGACCTGGATCCGGCATAATTTCGACGTCCTCCAAATCCATGTCCTCTCCGAGATCGAGACAATCTTCAATATCGTCGATAGATTCTACTTTTATGTCTGTATTTGACTCGACGTTTGTGTTGGCGATGGTGCTGTTGTCAATTTGTGTATTATTAGTAACAGGGAGCTGCTGTGGATACCACCAATTCATCATTGCCTCTGGTCTAGATGGGGAAGCGGCCCTAGTTCGATCTTGCTTTCCTAAAAGCAAAATATTAAAGTTTAATAATTAAACATATATTTAGAGTACTCACGCCAATCTGCATATATTTATTTATCTCGCAAATACAAAATTAAGCATCTCGGGATAAATTATTTCGCAAATTTATCCCACAACTGGTCATGTTTTTATTTCGTAAACTCATTTTCACCTTCATGAGCGAGAGAAATTATAGAAATTCATGAAAACAACGTCAAGATATGGGTCAAAAGATATTTTACAAGTAGATTTGAGAGATTTACAAAGTCATATTTATTTTGCGAATTCCTTCACGACACAAATTTTTTGAACTTCATAAGTTTGCTACATAGCAAACGACAACGTCTTATTTTGCATATGCAGAATAAGACGTTGTGGTGAGTACGCCCATTATAAATTTCACACTAATATCCAGATTTTAATGTGTGTACATATTTACCTTGACGTCGCGTTTGATGATTATTCTTCATATTTGCATCCCTGACCCGCTGTTTAATTGAGGTCACCCTTCTTCCCATGAGGTTGAGGAGTCCTTGCATATTGGAGTAGAGCAGGGTCGCCTCCTCCCACAAATTGTGACAGGTCGAACACAGCGCGGCCGGAGCTTGCCGCCCCGTCGTCGCCGTCGGTGGCACGCCGACCTGGGCGCAGAGAAATGGAAACGCCTCCATCGTGGTGGACGTCGCGGTCGTGGCGACACTCGCCTCGGTGCAGAAGACGCAAGCAGACATGGTTTTCTGTGTTAAATAAGGAACAAATATTTAAATGCAATTCGTGAATATCATACCAAATTTAATTGCAGTTGTGCCAATGTAATTTGTAATTAATTATTTTGCAATCGAAAAAAGAAGTGTAATTAAACATTTTGGAATGTTTATTCCAACAATTTAGAACAGATTGGTCAAAATATATACTATAAAGTAGTGCCTGATAATTAAAAGGTTTAATATTGATGAAAAGAATAAGTAAATATTTTTCTTTGATATTAATTTTAAATTAATTATTGTTGCATTGCATTATACACGAATGCATAACAAATTGTAAGGCAAAATTCACTTACCACCGGATACTAAATTAAATTGTACCAATTGGTTACTTAAATTGTGGTCGAAATTGTGTCAAAATCGAATTTCTTGGCAAGATGAAAGAAATCACATGTTATTTGTATTTATTTTCTTTTGAGTGGTGGGTTTAGTGCCATCCATCCGTCTCACGTTTCACTTTTCCCAATTTGAGATCGGATCGGATGAGTTATTAATTTTGATGTATTTATACTTATGAATGGAAAGTAATATATACATTTTATCAATTAATAAAGTAATGTACATGATAATACTAAATTTATAAGAAGTGTCATCATGCTACATAGTCATACATAATTGGTTTATTCGCTTTATTTATGCAATTGAATTCTGAAATTTTATTTTGTGGATCATGCATGAATATAAATACATGCCATGCACAATTACTGGAGTATGAAGTTCTGTGTTGTTTTTGAGATGCATTTATCTTTTGACATTTTGGTCGAGGGGGTGGGCAATGATAATCACATCCTGTGATTTTTTCATCAATACGATGATGTATGTATGTATGTACTTGGGGAAAGTGAAACAACTTTTTAAAAACACATTTTAAGACAAAACCAACTTGATATTGGGACATTCTGCATGAAATTCTGAGCATTTTTCTACATATTAGGATAGCCGATTAGGACAAAGTCCAATTTTGCATTTGATTTGCATGTTAAATATGAAAGTTGGTGGAAACATAGATCAAGTAGTTTATGAAAATGTTCAGTTGATGAATTTTATACTGAATCCGAAGGTCAACCTAAATATTTAGTTGAAATGTAAAACGCATAGACGCATGAACGAAATTCTTTCCATTTTGCCCATGAATCACACAGAAGTCACAGAAAATCTCGTGTGATATGAGTTTAATCATAACCTCGCTGATGAGATTTTCTATCCCCTTCGTATTACTTCTTATAACCAAGATTTTCAAGTATTTAAAAGAAATTTTTCTCAAGAGGAGTAATGCAAATATGTTTATGTACTACTTTGTTTAAATATTTCTTGCGATAACAATGTCAGTTAAGGAACGGTCAGAAATTATGTCGCGTAATTACGTCACGTCAAATTATGTGCCTTTCTCTCCCATTTTCACGTGTTACACCCCATTTTCACATATGGCCCCAAATCTGTATGTTACACAAACCTTTTACCCTCCTCCCCCCCTGACCCTCATCCGTGCCATAATTTATGGACTCCTCCCTAAATATCTCGTCATGAATACATATTAACTTAATACTTACAGTAGTTATATATGAACAAATCAGAAGCATAGGAAGGGCATACACCCATACAGTGTCGGACAGATGTCTACGTCCACATAGTCGCGTCAATTTCATTTTCAAATTGTCACTGAACTACTGAACCAATTTTCATCATTGATATATCAAATTCTCACAAATTTAACGTAATTTCATAGCACATTATTAGTTTTCCGCTAAAAAATTTATTTTAGGCCAGAGATGTATTTTAATTCAAAATGAAAACAATTGGATGGACAAAAGTCAACGTCCAGTCAGAGAAAACATACAAAAAAAACTGTAATTTATAAGGAATGTTATAACAATTAATTTTTAATATTTGGTTGGGCCTCCGTTCGCTTTAAGGACGGCTTCAAGGCGTCGAGTCATTGAGTTTACCAAATTCTTGGTCACATCTTCAGAAATGGTTTCCCAAACTTCACGAATTCTGGATTTAAGGCCCGGAATTCCTGAAAAAGATTGTTTTCTTATTTCTCTTTCAATGTGGTCGCACAGATGCTCAATGGGATTCAAGTCTGGAGATTGGGGAGGCCATTCTAGCTTCGGAATTTTTTTTTCTTGAAGTATTCCATGGTGGACTTGGCAGAGTGTTTCGGATCGTTGTCTTGTTGGAAGGCAAATCGTCGTCCAAGTCCAAGTTTTCGAACAGATTCCTGGATATTACGGTCAAGTATTCCCTGGTACTTGTATTGGTCCATAATTCCGTCAATAAATTCCATTTTTCCTGCCCCACTTGAAGCCATGCATCCCCACACCATTACCGACCCGCCGCCGTGCTTAACTGTGGGGTTGAGATTTTTTGGATTCAAAGCTTCTTTTGGATATCTCCACACTCTACGACGCCCATCTGACCCAAAGACATTGAACTTTGACTCGTCAGTCCATAAAATATTTCCCAGAATGTTTGTGGCTTGGAAATGTGGTCTCTGGCAAACTTCACTCGTTTGGTTGCATTCCTCGGTACAATAAGAGGCTTCCGGACTGCTCTGTGGGATTTCAAATTTCCCTTATTCAGTGTTCTTTGGATGGTCATAGGACTAACCTGTTTGCCGAACATCTCCTTGATCTCGGTAGATAGCTTTGGAGCACTAAGTGAGGGTGTAACGTTGACTTTGTTGAGCACGTGGCGTACTTCTCGGTGAGCCAAAATGGGTTTTCGACCACTTCTGACCTTGTTTTGGACTGAACCATTAGCTTTAAAGTTCTTAATGATTGTCTGGATGGTTGTCCTTGCTAATTTATACTTGGTCCATATTTGTCTCTGCGACAGCCCCCTTTTTGTCCACCCTTCCAGTCCTGAATGACAAGATCTCGAATAGCGATAGGAATTTCCTTGCGTGTCGACGCCATCATATTTTTCTGGAAGAAAATTATTTAAAAATTAATGCGGCATATGTTATTGATAGATTTATTAAGTTACCTGATTTTATAAATTGGAGAGATTTTTGTTGTTAACAATTAAAGTGAAGTGGACGTAGACTTTTGTCCGCTCAAATTTCATCCTCTCTCGCTCTGCACTATGATTCTCAGTTTTCCCAGAATTTTCAGAAATAACTCATATGTTTTATGAAATTACGTTAAATTTGTGAGAATTTGATATATCAATGATGAAAATTGGTTCAGTAGTTCAGTGACAATTTGAAAATGAAATTGACGCGACTATGTGGACGTAGACATCTGTCCGACACTGTAGTTACCTAAAAAGTCTACGTCGATCGAAATAATGATTGATTATTTGAGTGATGTGCTAATTGCCAAATATGTATTTGAGTAATTTCTTTCATACTGGACAGACAATATTATATATTAATTTGTTTAATCATTTGTATAAATAAACTAGTAACGTAGCAAAAATCAGTAGCATGAAATAAGTTAACCCTTTCGTACTGATTTTTTAACACAATTTGGGTGCCAATTTTGCGATCAAACTAAAATATTATTTTAATATACATATTATAAAGGGTGTTGATAAAGTCCGATCCCATTTTTCCTATAAAAAAGTGAAGGCTAGTATAAAAAAAACTACCCGTGATACTTACAAAAAATGTTCGACATATTTACCTTAGTATTTGGTCTTGTTACCATTTACTTTAACCATGCCCTCAACTCTTTGTTTAAGGCTCTGTGCTAATTTTTCCAATGTGTCTGTGGGAATCGAATTCCATACATCTTGAACTTTTTTTACTAGCTCTTCCCTCGTCCGGGGTTGTGGTTCTTTGTATACATTTTCCTTAAGTATGGACCACAGGTTCTCCAGGGGATTCAAATCTGGGCTGTTTCCGGGCCACACCCCCTTGCTCCAGACCGTTGAAACTTGCGTCTTGATGAGACTCAAACTCGCTTTTGCTGTATGGGCTGTAGCACCATCCTGCATGAAAACTATTTTTCTTTCATTCGGAAATATTTCCTTGTTCCCCATGCTATCGAAATAGATAGGTAATATTTTTTCCATATAATACTTTGCATTGACTGTTTGGCCTTTTGGTATGATATGTAGAGGAGTCACGCCACGTGCACAAAATCCACCCGCTACCATAACTTTAAGCCCGAATTTTGGGACTACTCTTGATGGTACATCCGATTTGTTTTCTGTCCTGTAACGAACATTTTGTTGGTTCAATTTTGGATATAGCTCAATAATAGATTCGTCAGTCCAAAGGATGTGACTGCGCAATTCTTCACCAAGTCTTTTTTCACTCAAATGGCCACTTTTCTGAAGGAGTTCTCCAAATTTCAGACGGTCATCGATATTTTTTTGTGACATGAGAGGTTTTTTGGTTAGTTTGTAAGCTGTGTGACCCCACCTCGTAGATTTCACAAATTTTTGCACGGTCACATAGTTAATTTGCTTCTTCTTCTCTTTATAGCGTTTTGAGTCATTTAACTCCCTTGCACAATTACGTAATGAACTACCGGTTTTCTTGTAAAGTCTGTTTTTAATCATTCTCTTTGTGGTAGGTGACACCTTTCTGGGTCGCCCGAGTCGCTTTTTGTCGTGGACAAAATTTTTGTTCTTCCATTTCCAAACAGTTCTGCGGCTGCAGCCCAATTTTTGCACAATTTCTGCAGGTTTAAACCCCTGCTGATGCAATGTTTGTATCTTAACTCTAAGATGCTCATGACTTACACGTTTAGTTGTTCCTCCCATGGTAAAAATTTGAAATAAATAACTTCACTGGTTCAAAAGTTCCAGCTGAATTTGTAACAACCGCGCTCCAAAAAATTCATGGGATCGGACTTTATTAACACCCTTTATATGTAAATGATCCCAGTTGGCGAAAGATTGTTAAGGTGTATATATGTATTTACTATGCCTAAATCTGCATGTATATGTGTTTATACATATTTTAATTCCAATATTGCTGCCCAATGCACACATGTACATATACTTACATACGTACTGAGGAGGCACATATTTAAAAGAGGAATATTTAGCGATGAATATACATATGTACATATACAAAGGTGGATGTATAAGTAATTATGTAAATGCACGAATATTTTTCTGCCTATTAACCCATGCTTGGCTCCCCTTCAATACTTATTTAATCTTTTCAGGTAGTCGGTTATAAATAAATAAGCTGACCAAGTGCTCATAGCATTCCTGTTAAAGGGAATGCATGCGACGTGTTGATTTTTAAATAGTCGCATCGTTTTTTTAAGTTCACGCATATGTATGTGTCTTGCATACAAACGTAAGCTGTTGAACTTAATGTGAAGCATTTACAAGCCTATCTAAGCTGTGGTAAAAATAATTTAATTTGGCATCGTCATGAAACATTTAACTGGATGCTACAGTAACCCAACCACGAGGTTACGATTTTGTAAGGGAATATGCCCCATTAATAATTCCGTAAAATACTCAATGTTGCATTAGTGGCTTCACTACTAGCACGACCAATTGTTGTAACCGTTCCGGAGATTTATATAGGTTACATAAATGTCACCACAAATATTTGCCACAATGCAGCTTAGAAATTACAGGGTAAATTTTCTCACAATTTTACTGTTGGTGGGCACCCTGAGTAGCGGAAAGCTGGTACGAAAGAAGCACGTTGGAAAAGAAAAGGTAAATCATTTACCTTTTCAAAACTTTTAATAATTTAAGTTTTCACGTAATACATTGATACATTTTTCAGATACCTCAGTGGCGCATTGAACAACAGATCTCTGGACTTGGAAAAATTGTGTTCCGAAATGGACGAACCTTTAAAAATTTAGGGGATTCGATAAGGAAAGAGGAAACCAAATTAACAGTGTTTCACATCGCGCCCCACGCCCGCGAAATCACAGCACATCCCAAAAATGCTGCTCGGATAATTCACCTTATTGCTACTATCATTGGTCAAATATTAGGAGCCCCCCTTGCGATTATTAGAGCCAATGCGTCCCTTGTCGACGATTTGGGCGCGGACTCTCTCGCCGTGCATAAAATCTTGTTTGCGCTTCGGGAAAAATTCGAATGTGATGGCCCTATTGAAGACTCCGATGAATTTAAATTCGTCAAAGACGTGATTAATTATGTTGAAGCGAAATGTTCTAAGAGGTGAAGTAAGTTACATAGTTAAGTAATTAAGTAGGTAAATGATTTTGTGTTCCGCATATTCGTGGCATCTTGTTTATATATCAAGAATTATAAATTTGTCTTTTTTTTACTTGATGCACTCTGGTAAATTTTACATTACAATAAATTGGTAATACTTTTTTTAAGAATATAGTCCTCTGGATAAATTGAATATTTGAACAGCTTTTAATAAAATTAGTTTATTCTAAATATTTGGTGTAAATGAAATTTTTCGTTTTTTTTTATAAAACATTCGACCAAGTGGAATGCAATACGGTGAATCGAATAAAAGTTAACCAGCGAACTCTGTCCTTTAATCGGGCTAAATGAAATCTGCAATTCTGCACTAGGTTATTACATATAATGATAATTTGACCTGCTGATGTAGAATTTTAGAATAAAAGTACGCCACTACTGGTCAACCTGCTGAACAAGGATTTTATTACGCAATTATTTTGTACATATTGCCTGTTTGGCAATAATTTTGTGCAATGCTTTACTAACACATATTAATAATTGATAAAATGTAAATTGTCGTAACATCTTCAGAAGGAAAAAGTGCATTAAGGGTGGCTTTTGGGCCAGGACTTTTGATCGTCTCATTTTGAAGGTAATTACATACCCAACATTGTCGCGCAACAATATGGCCTCGCGTTAGGACAAACGGTATGCAAAACTGGAACGCCTGGAAGAACGCAGTTTGCTGCGGTGCTGCAATGCCCGTAAAGGATGTCTTGCCCCATAATGGTAAGAACGTCGCAAGGGAGGAGCCCCTGAGCAGCAACATGGGAACCTGGAAATATTCATAATAATTTCGATTTTTGAAAAATCTTCACTTTTATAAATAAGGGAACATTCATAAATTATGTCACGCATAACTGTCGATCTTTCCTCCTTCTCCCTTTTATCACGCGTTGCACCCCCTTTTGACATATTGCAAAAATCACAAAACGTTTACCCTCCCACATCACCCGTGACAAAATTTATTGACGTCGCCTACCTTTTAGAATCAGAGTGTGCAAGGGCAGAAAGGCATGCCGTGCCTGAAATGCCTTTTTGCCTATTAGGCACGTGAATTTTGGCCATGCCCGATTGCCCGAAATGCCTTTTTGCCTTTTTGGTAAAATCGGGGCACTGTGATAATACGCTCCCAGGATTTGTGAGTCATTAGTTGTAATCTTTCACAGTTCGCAGGATTTGGACAGGTGTACAAATATTCACAAATACTCGTAATTATCATGAATGCGTCGGAAATAATGTTGTGGGCTAGTTGTTTAGAAGTGTAAGGTTGGTAACGATTTACATACAGAAAACCGAAATATAAACCCAATTATACTGTTATTGGTACTTTCTCGTGCATAGTGAAGTTTGTAAAATGGTCCAGGCAATGCCCAATGTAAACATCGGAAAAGGGCAAAAAGGCATCAAACGGGCAAAAAGGCACGCAAAAAGGCAATTCGGCATTGAAACGGGCAAAACGGCAAAAAGGCATGAATTTTTTCCCAAAAAGGCGCCTTTTTGCATACTCTGTTTAGAATGACTATTTTACTTACTTGGGTGTGCCATGACGAAATAGCACAAGACCATGGAAACGATAAAATTGTACTTCATGTTTAGTATAGGCAGTATAGCTGAAGGAAATTTATGTCTGAATCAGAAATTTTAATTTTTTCTTCTTTTAATTGGTTCTCAACTTTCGGTTTGAGAGATGCTTCTAATTTTTACACTGCTCTCGGTCTGTTTTTATACTCAAGATTTAAGTACGTTGCCATTTGTATAAATATTTATTGTAATACTTTAATCCAGCTAAATGTATCATTAAATCTCAATTTAGAAAGATTAAATTGTATCCTAATTTCTGCGAAATGCGCGCAAACTGATTAAGTATTATCGAAATGATTCATTCCGTTTACTCAATTCAAAAATATTTAGGGTTGAGCATCACATTCATCGGGCGATGCCAATGTCTTTTTTAAATAAGTAGATTTTGGTAAATAATTTTGAAAATAATTTCCACCGAAAATCCCAAAATTCTCAAAAATTCAAAATCCATCAGTATCTTAGGTACTAGATATAAGATTATATCGATATCTACTTTCGGACAAGCTATTCATCATCTTAATAGTTATTTGGAATCATGAATTGTACAACCCTGCATTGTAAAACTTCTCCCCAGATTTGCATACCGGATCAGACCGCCCAAAACAATAAAGTTTGTTTAGGTACATATTTATATACATCCTTTGACATTGTGAAGAGTATGTAGGCAATTTTATGATGTAAATAAATACCATAGACTTATCAGCGGTGCGGCCCATGTGCTTAAAAAACCCATGCATATAAATATATACTTTGGGAATTTTTGTTGGAATTTGTAAACAACGCGATTATGTTGTCATAAATACATATGTAAATAAATTGTAAATTGATTTATTTGGTTCGATTTAATCAATGTCTTTATTATCTTTATTCACGTGCCGCATTGTAAGACAATTTTTCTCAAACTGAGTGATTGTTTGTTTCTTCAGAATCTGTAGTCGGGTTTCTTATGAAACTCGAGATGCGATGATATATTTGAATATACACACATCTCTCTCATATGAGACGAGCAATGATTTGAGGCGAGATGAGATTCATAGGATTTGTGGCAAGATGAGGCGTTTATTCCGTCATGGTAACAACTGATACGAAACGTGAGATGATAAGTCATCTTGTTCCTTCATCTCGTCGTATCTCGTACGGTCTCATCTTGTCTCATCTAGTCTCATCTCGCCTCAGCTAATCTCATCTCGCCTCAGCTAGTTTCATCTCGTCTAATATAATCTTATCTAGTCTCATCTCGCCTCATCTAGTTTCATCCCGTCTCATCTAGTCTCATCTCGCCTCATCTAGTTTCATCCCGTCTCATCTAGTCTCATCTCGCCTCATCTAGTTTCATCCCGTCTCATCTAGTCTCATCTCGCCTCATCTAGTCTCATCTCGCCTCATCTAGTCTCATCTCGCCTCATCTAGCCTCATCTCGCCTCATCTAGTCTCATCTAGCCTCATCTCGCCTCATCTAGTCTCGTCTCGCATCATCTAGTTTCAACTCGTCCCATATAGTCACATCTCCCCTCATCTAGTTTCATCTCGCCTCATCTAGTCTCATCTCGCCTCAGCTAGTTTCATCTCGTCTCATCTAGTCTCATCTCGCCTCAGCTAGTTTCATCTCGTCTCATCTAGTCTCATCTCGCCTCAGCTAGTTTCATCTCGTCTTATCTAGTCTCATCTCGCCTCATCTAGTCTCATCTCGCCTCATCTAGTCTCATCTCGCCTCATATAGTTATCTCGCCTCATCAAGTCTCATCTCGCTTCATCTGGTCTCACCCTGGGACTCCGTGAGATAATCTCGGTGAGATATTACCATACACCCCGACTGTATGAGTCGTGGAGGTTTCACCGTGTAATTTGCGCCCGAATTTTACTTCAGTCACAAACTGTTATAAAAAATAAAAATTAACAATAAAATCAGAGTGCTCGTAAGATCAGATTAAAACCATTTGAATATATACATATGTATGTACAAATTGCATTGTCATATAATTTAGATTCACCAACATTATTTAAATCATACAAGAATTTCCAAAATTCTGAACGCCTTAAATATCTACTATTTTAATGCCAGCAACGCTCGAAACGTGCCTCTCACAATCCCCCTAAAGAATTTCAGCAGTGTTAATTTCCCTATGCAAAAATACCCTCCCGCCCGAATCGCCAAAGGTTTACAGCTCCTCCTAAATCTGGACAACTCCGCTTTCTTGGCCCTCGGCCAGTTGAAGTACTTCCAGGACACGATAGTTCGCCTTCCTTGGGATTGAATATACCCTCCAGACGAGAGAACAACCGTCCAAAGAAAAAGTACTCCTCCGCTCCAGAGAACCAAAAGAGACGTGGAAGTCGCATCAAGATAAGCCCAGTCCCGAATTAGCAGGTAGTTACACGAGAGCGAAAACTGGGTCACGATCGCTTGTGCGGGAATCAATACGGGGGCGAGTACCGCGTTCATATTTTTGTTGAGAAGCTCCAGAGATCGGTAAGCGATTTGAAGATTGCCGGGTAACCGAAGCCAGTGTGATGTAGTGTATTTCCTGTAGAATTAGATACATAAATTGTATACTAGGATCTTGATACAAGGGAATCTCCCGAGGTGCCACATTAATTCAGGTTTGTCACCTATATATTCGTTCAGAAGCATGCATACATACGTAAGAAAATCGTTTTTAGGGAAGTTTTAGGGAAGTTAGGGAGTAGGAATTTCTGGTCCAAATTTGCAAGGGACCTTCCATAAGTTACGTAATTCAAAATCGTCATTTCTTCGAAGCTTTTCATCAAATTTCGATGATATTTTTTTTACAAGCGTATTTAGAACACCGAGAGAGATGTGGATGAGTCAATGAGTGGGAGCCAAGGAACAAAAGGTTGATCCTGATAAGTATGTACATATTTATAAAATAGTACATTGACACCTGTCCATCCTACATTAAATTATGCCACATATGTAAATATCAGGATATTTACCACAATTTTACGGAAACAGATTGTTACCCGGAAATTCCTTCACTTTACTTTAATGCACACCTCGAAAGATTCCCGTGTAAATGTTATAATATTCCACATACTTATATATTTACATAACATGATTAAATTTAATGAGAGAAATCCCCCCAAATTTTGAAACAAACTTACCTCCCACTCTTTTTGGCACTCGGAGCCAGAAACTCCTTCGAAAGGAGGGAACAAATGATAAAAATGTAGATCAACACGGTTATGATGCAGGCAGTCGTGATATTGGAAAATATGGAGAGAAGCATCCAAAAGTAACCGAGACCGACCACTACATAAAATTCCAAGCGGCACGAGAAGTCGATGAAGGAGCATGGATATGCTGCATGGGAGGGGAACAGGAAGTAATGGAGGACCACCCATGTTGGACAAAATAAGTTGAGAAATGTGGTAAAAACGGTGAGATTACAGAGATACGGCAGCAAATAATCCGGTTTTGTAGTTAGTTTCCAGTTTTCTAAATGCATACAAATACATTCAGGAATTTATGTCTTTACCAAAGGCTAAAATTACGTGGAATCTGAAAGAGTTCGGTGCGTTTCGACCTTATTGGCATTAGAAAACCACTTTCTAATATGTACTGTCAAATCCCGATACTCCAAATTCGAAAAATTCGGATTTATCGGATTTCAAGTACTTCGGATTTGATTCATAAAAGTATCCAGATTGTCTTAATGTAAAGGCTACTTTATTTATATATTTAGTTATGTTTATTTATTTTCGATGACAATCTACAATCTCATTTTGGTTCAACATTTAGTCACCCATGACTTTGCTTTCGAATCAAATTATGTGT